TACTAATTATTTATTGACTTATGAGATTAATATGTCTAGAGATAGAACATCTTTTGGAAAAATAAAAAGAACATTGAATTTAAATCTGTAAAATAATGTAATAAAAAGATGAAATAATTTTTTCATCTAGAAAATTAAATTAGTCGATCAACAAGAATAAAAACTACATGGCCAAGATAGGTACCAAAATGCTATTTGAAATATTTGATGATCTTTACTTTAATTTAGGACATTATGTCATTTTAAAGTTGATTGACTTCTACTGAAAAATCAATATAACCCTGGGTCTGGGGGACTCATTCTAATCGAAACAAGGGGTGGGACTCGAATTTCTAGCCTATTTTGGTATCTCCCACCATTCCTCATTCCTCATTTTCTAAAGTTAAAGCCATGAGACTCTCCTTTAAAAGTGGGTTGCTTAGGAATGACATGATGGCGACCTAGAGCGACAACAATTCTAGCTTTGCTGATAAAAGATGAAGAAAGAGCAAATATGTGCTTAATGACAAAATCTTCAGAGGTATATGATTCTCACGTCTCTTATTTATCTAAAGCAACATTACTTAAATAATTTGATAAATTAATATGTGAAATTAAAATTATTAGAAATAAGATGAAAAATTGTGCAAAGAGAAAATAAAATGCTTAGCAAATATGTTCAAATTCTGGAAAATGGATACAAACACCAAAAGACCTTATTTTAAAAACTAGAACATGGAAATTAAAATCTAATGATTATCATTAAGAGAAAAGGATAGAGAACATGAGGACATACTCCTTAAAAATCATTCTTGCCTACAGTCAATGAACTTCAACAAGACATTGATTGATTGATAGAAAAAAGAATTGTTGAACACAAATTATAAAATTTTGAGAGAACTAAGAACTAAAGATAAAGTTATTCAGCTGTTCAGCTATGAGTTGTACTATTTATAATAATATAATTTCTAAATAGTTATAGAAACTAAAAAGTTAGGAAAGAAAAGAAAGACATAAATCTTAAACTATAACATCATAAAGAAAAGGATCTTAAGCAAGAAAATAAATTCTCTAATCTGAAATCATTTAATGAAAAATTATGTGAGAATCAAAACCCATTAGATATGTAACTTGAAAGTCAAAAATTATTACTTTCAAGGAAAGGACTAGGGTTTAATCATAGATCAACTAAAACATATCTTAGAAATAAAATTAAACCTAAAACATATATATCTACCTAAGGGTAATATGGTCAATCCCAAAGAAATCTGAGTTCTAAAATAAAATTTAAATTATTTTTTTTTGTGAGATCTAGTGGACAACTTCATGGTGGTACTTGGACAATGGATGCTCAAATCATATACCAGAGGGTAAGAATGGCTCTATTTGTTCAAACTAATGAATGGAGGAGAGGTAGCATTCATAGATAATAATAAAGAGAGTATACATGGGTAAAAAGACATTTCTTTTGAAGATCACATTTTAGTTAAAAATATTTTACTCAGATATTCTAAGACACAATCTAATTAATATAAGTTAATTATGTGAAAATGATATAAAGGAATAGTGATAGAGTAAGATATTTTTTCTTAACCTATAAATAAATGACTAGTATGAATATGTGTTTCATGATTGAAAAGGATGAATATTAGATAGATGTTTGTCATAGAATAATTTGGCATGTGGATGTTAGAATAGTTAAAAGGCTGTTAAAATTTGACATATTCAGAAGATTACATAAAATTTTTAACATAAAGAATTACACATATGAGAGTTCCATTAGTTGAAAACAAAGTAGAAAAACATTCAAAACTAAGAAATACATCTCATCAGATGAACTCACTTGATGTACTTATATTTATTTGGTCCAAGTAAAATTGTTAACTACTTTAAGGAAATATTATGTCTTAGTTACAATTGATCATTACTCTAGATACACTTGGATATTTTTTTAATTCTTAAGAACGAGTCAGTAGATTACCTTACAAAATTTGAAAAGAAAAATCAAAAGAACTTGGTAAAATGATGAAAAATATTACAAATGATTATATAACTAAATTCGAGAATGTTAAATCCTGTAAATTCTATGATGAATTAGAAAATTTTCACTACTTCTCAACTCCAAAAACTCCTGAACAAAATAGGGTTGTAGAAGGAAAGAATAGGACATTAATAGACATCTCAAGAATGATGCTAGCTGAAAGTAATCTTTCTAAGTATTTTTTAAGTGGCGTAATTTGTATATCATGTTGTGGTCAATAGAACTTTGATCAAATTTAGGGTTAAAGAAAACATCTAAGAAATTTCTTTATAATAGATTCTAAATAATTCTCTCATATCATTTTGAGGTAAGTACTTTATTCTAAATAATGGGAGAGAAGAATGAGGAAATTTTGATCAATTGAGTGGCAAAAGATTCTCCCTTCACTAGTTTGAAAAGTTAAAAGCACATAGAACCTATAATTAAAGAAGTATAGCTGTTAAAGAATTTATTCATATGAAATTTATAGAATAACCTACAGCATAAGTGATCAATTCAAGTGAAATTGAAATAGTGAATTACTAGATATGATGGAAAATGAGAATCAAGAATGAAGAAATACCACAGCTAGATATTAACCCTAACTTGTCTAGGACTTGAAAATATACAAAGATTCATCCAAAAGAAAATGTCTTATGTCATTTAAATGGAAGGGTCAAAACTAGACTAGATTTTAACAAAAACATCCACCAAGTATTTACTTGTCAAATTGAACCTAAAATGTGGATGATGTACTCACAAATTCAAATTTGATGAAGTTTATGCATGAAGAATTAGAAAAATATGAGAGAAATTACCTCTCTCTCTCTCTCTATCTCTCTCTCTCTCTCTCTCTCACACACACACACACACACTCTCTCTCTTGATCTCTTTCTATAGTGGATATTTATTACAAAGACATGGAACCATTTATATATATATATATATGATGTGGTCCATGATTTGCCACATGGTGTTGACCACCATTGGGGGCACCACTTGTTGGGGGGCACCACTTGTGTGGTGGGTGGTTGTTGTACATTTGGACATAAGTCATAAATTGGCAAGTGAGAAAGCAACAAGGGGTGAAGAATATGCAGAAAGTCATACAACACGTACAGAAGGAGTCAATGCAGAGCAAATGAGCGGCTGCACGAATACACACGTGTATTAGGTACCCAAGGCCCCCAATGTTAATGAATGCTCGAGTTTTCCTCTCCCTCTCTCTCTCTCTCTCCAGAGTTTGGCGTGAGATGGGGATTGAGACATAAGAGAAGGAAGAAGGAGACGAAGAAGAAGAAGAAGAAGAAGAAGAAGAAGAGAGTATGTACTGAGGAGAGTGGGCATTAGAGAGAGAGAGGAACTCATTCCTTGTGAATGGAAACAGATGAACCATTGAAGTCCTCGCTACCAATGCTGACCTCTCTTACAACCTCCCACATCTCTTTCTTCCTCTTGCTCTCTCTCTCTCTACATGAAATAATCCAAAAAAGGATAATTATCTTAATATTAGGGAAATTAGACATCTTTAATTATATAAATATATAATCCTAGGTCAAAATATTAGAACATGCTAAATGTTTTATCAGTTTTCCTGTTGATATTATGGAATAACTAGCTTTTAAAATTCTCAAATATTCAATTTTTGATTCCATCATTTTCAGCAGAAATATTAAAAATATGCTAACTACATATCAGTAATAATATATTAAAAGTAATGGTGATAACCCAGATTTCTGTATAGGCTTTTTAGTTTTAGGTCCCTCTCAATATTAAAATTCAAGAGTATACCACAAAGATGAAGAGGCTGATGTGGTGTGCATGATAGAGACCAAAGACTTTGAAGGGAGAGAGAGAGAGAGAGAGAGAGAGGGAGGGAGGGAGAGGGACCCACCAGAGAAGTAGGAGGATTGTGGGCCAGTCATAAGGTATAAAGATAAGTCGGTTTAGTCGGGAGTATCGAAGTTAATTAATCTCATAAAAGTTGAAGTGCATTCACTCCACCTCGTCCGATGGAGCGTCTGCAACTGTCCCTCTCCATGCTCAGAATCGGGGCGCCTCTCTCTCTCTCTCCCTCTCTCTCTCTCTCTCTCTCTCTCTCTCTCTCTACCCGTAAGGATCGTCACCATCACCAAATTCAAAAACCACCATTCTCCCGCCCCCCCCCCGGGTTCTCTCTCTCTCTCTCTCCCTATCTATGGACATATATAGATGTATATCTGACTCTCTCTCTCTCTCTCGCTATCTCTTCTGTCTCTCAGTCTTCCCCTTCTCTTCTGTCACTCTGTTCAAGGAGGTCCAGGAGTACTCTGACAGGGCATGAAGGAACCAGGGAGAGCCGGCCACCGCCATTCCCCCATCCTCTCCTCCCCATTCTCGCCGGCCACTCCCCGTTTCGATGCTCCGCCGACCATCTCCCCGCCGCCACCCCGGAGGACTCCCGCGGGCAGAGCCTCCGCGGCCTCCTCGTCGAGAAAGCTGGCCGCCGGGATCTGGCGGCAGCAGGTCCAGCTGGAGAGATTCTCGCCGTGGGTAAGGTTTCCTCCGCTGAATTTCTGGATCTCTTGCCCGCTGGCATATTTCTAGGGCTTCCTGGTCCGGATTCTTTGTGCGTTAGATTACTCCCGGACTCCGATGGATTGTGAATCTGATGTAGTAAAACTCTGCAGAAGGAATTAGGGTTTATGAGGATAACCTTCCTGGCCTTTGATCATCTATTCTTCGAGAAACCATTGCTTCAGATGAAATTAGGGTTTTATAATCGCTTACCCTTCTCGCAGGCCGTCCATGGCCAACCGAGGCCCCCCTGCGTCTGCAAGCTCAAGAACTCACACATCCACGGGGATCCCGTTCCCAGTCTAAGCGGAGGCCTCCGGTTCAAGGTAGGTCGGCTCTTCGTCTTCCTCGTCTTCATTGCCAGAGAGTTCCCAGAGCTTCCAGTGACCTCCAACTCCATTGATCCGGCTTGTTTTGGATTCAGCACGAGCTGGCAAATTTTGCGATGGAGAGGGCTACGAGATGGGACACCGGGATCCCGGAATCTGAGCTCACGAGGCTCCTCGATCATCTGAATGTCGTCCCGGATGAACAGCCACATGGAAGGATGACATCGACGGCAGCAGATCTCCGAGACGAGCTCGATCAAGCTAGGGCGCGGGTGGCAGACCTCGAGGACGAGTGCGAGCTATGGCAGAAGAAGCTCGGCGACCTCTACGAGAAGGCCCTACGACGGAGGCGAAAGGAGGAGAAGCTTGCTGCAATGGCGGCTGATCTGGAGGGGGAGCTGAGGAGGGAGAGGAAGGACCGGCGGTGGCTGGAGGCGGAGAATATCAAGCTCGCCGGTGAGGTTGCGGCGGCGGAGGCATCTGCTTGGCGGCGCCTGCAGGATTACGAAGAGCAGAAGAAGGAGAGGGAGCTCATGGAGGAGGTCTGCAGGGAGCTGGTGGAGGAGGCCGACGGTGGCCGAGCAGAGATCGAGGTGCTGAAGAGGGAGGCCATGGAAATCCGCGGGGAGCTCGATTGGGAGAGGAGGATGTTGCAGGTGGCCGAGGATTGGCGTGAGGAGAGGGTCCAGATGAAGCTGATCGACGCGAAGCTCGCCATTGAAGTGCAGCGCTCCCAAGTCAGCAAGCTTCGGCCCATGTTGCAGAAGTTTTTGCGGGGAGAGGTGGTCTCTGTTGCAGAAGAAGAAGGTGATGACAATGGGGATGAGGACGATGGCGACAGCAGCTGGGAGGAGATGCTGAGTCGGTCTGAGGAGCTCGACTCGAGCATTCCCTCAATTGGAACAGAGGGGGAGGTGATGGCAGAAAGGTGACAGGGAAGGGGAGGATGATGGTGGTGATGGGTGTAGCTGGGTGGTGGCAATACTGCAAGAGGGAGCAAGGACTGCGCAATGGAAGGATTGCAGTGAAAATTGCTAAGGGAAGAGGATCCCTGGTTCAAGATGATGGGGAAGAAGATGACGATGTTGGCTACAGATGAAAGATGTTGAGAATGAATTGCTAAAGGAGGACGATCTCTAGTTCATGTGATCTCGGGTTCAAGATGATGGGGAAGAAGATGACGATGTTGGCTACAGATGAAAGGTGTTGAGAATGAATTGCTAAGGGAGGACGATCTCTGATTCATGTGATCTCGGGTTCAAGATGAGGAAGAAGCAGAAGATGTTGGCTGTAGATGGGCAGCCGGATGGGTGGTGAGAACTGCAATGGGCGGATCATTGATTCAAGGACGAAAACGTGAACTTTTGATGATTGCCTGAAGGCATCTTCCGATGATGTGATCGATTTCTATAACAGCAGTGAAGGAAAAACATGGGTTTGATCCACTGATTCATTGAGCTGTTCTAATACATGTTTGGGTAATCGAGATGATCATCACATGAATGGTAGGAGGATTACTAATGCTGAAAAAGAAATAGCATTGCATCTGATGAGTTCTCCCAAGCGATGAACCCTAGAACATGAAGATCAGAGGTAATGAATAGGATCAAGCCCTGATATAGTAGTCAAAGAAACCTAGATTTACTGGATCATTGTACTGCTTGATTATTATGATAGCTGGTTGTCGCATGCTTCAAATCGCTGGAAGATTATTTGATAATCAGAGTGTAAGAAGATGGGATAGAACACAGATGTTAGAGGTAATCAGCAGTATCAAACACGTTGAACCCAGATTTAAATTCAGATTTGCCGAATCATTGAACTGTTTGATTATAATCAACATAACCATTACACGAATATCAGGCTTCTTTTTGCAGCAAGATTAGTGATGTTCAGATAGAAACAAGATGACAGGTGAGAGACCACCCAAGAATGAACCGTTGACCATGGGGGATCAGAGGTAAACAAACAGCATCAAAAACTCTTTTGTTAAACCCAGATTTACTAAAGAGTTAGCTGTTCTGTTACGATCCAGATATTACCACATAAATAGCAAACTTCATATTTTTAGCAAAATTATTGATGCTCAGAGCCATGACACATTGAACCCTAGAACATGGAGATCAGAGTGATAGATAAGATCAAACACGGATTGAGAAACAAAAGGATGACGAAACCCAGATTTACTGAATCACTGAACTGTTTGATTGTATTCGAGAAGACCACCGTGTGAACAGCTGCTACAGATTGTGGCATGATTATTGATGTTCATAAGATTGTGTGATGAATGCTGCCCACTAATCTGTTTTATTTAGAGTTTTACTTCAGACATGGAGTGAAGAACAGCCTCACTGACGCTCACTGTTTGGAGTTGATCAGATTCCGGATGACGAATGGAAGAATGCCACCGTGGTCAAAGTAGGCGAGCTCCACCTGTGATCAATCAAATTGCATAATTATTAACATGAGATGGTCAATAAAGTGGCGTTTTTTATCAATCTGAAGGCAAACCCATCTTGGCCATCAGAATTGTAAAGAATCATCCTTCTTTTATTTCCTTCTCAACTACAAGTTTACCAAATCAAGAGAGAGAGAGAGAGAGAGAGAGAGAGAGAGAGAGAGAGACTATTAACATGAGATGGTCAATAAAGTGGCTTTTTTTATCAATCTGAAGGCAACCCATCTTGTGCATCAGAATCTGAAAGAATCATCCTTCTTTTATCTCCTTCTTAACTATCAAGTTTACCTCATTAAGAGAGAGAGCGAGAGAGAGAGAGAGAGAGAGAGAGAGTATTAACATGAGATGGACAATAAAATGGCTTTTTTTATCAATCTAAAGGCAACCCATCTTGTGCATCAGAATCTGAGAATCATCCTTCTTTCCTTCCCCTCTCAACTATCAAATTTACCAGATTAAGGGAGAGAGAGAGAGAGAGATTATCACATGAGATGGTCAACAAAGTGGCGTTTTTATCAATCTGAGGCAACCCATCCTGTGCATCAAAAGCTGAAAGAATCATCCTTTTTTCCCCTCTCAACTATCAAGTTGACCTGATTAAGAGAGAGAGAGAGAGAGAGAGAGAGGGAGAGAGAGATGGTACCTCTGTGTCGAAGCGGGCTGTGCAGGTGAAGGATTTTCCATTGTCGGTCACGACAGCAACATCTTGACCCGGCCGGAGGTCCTTCACACTGCTCGGAAGGTCAATGGAGAACCGCTCATACCCAGTCAACCCGAGGGTTTCGGAGTCCTCACCGGGCTTGAAGCAGAGAGGGATGATGCCCATCCCCACCAGATTGCTCCGGTGGATCCTCTCAAAGCTCTTTGCAATGACCGCTTTGACTCCCTGCAATGAGAAAGTTAGAGAGAGAGTGCGGAGGAGGATGGACGGAAAGTCAATGGGATGGGGCTCTGGCTGGTAGAAAGTCAAAAGAAGCTGGGATGGGGGACCCACCTGAAGCATTGGGCCCTTGGCTGCCCAGTCACGGGAGCTTCCACTCCCATACTCTGCTCCGGCCAGGATTATGGTGTCGTGGCCATCTTCCTTGTACCTCTGATAAAGTCAACGGAAAATAAGTAACCAACCACGGGGATAAAATAATACCGAAAAGGGATCCATCTAGAGAGGAGCAATACCTTTGACCAACGATTTCTTGGTTATTTTTAAGATAGTAAAATCTGATGAAAACTCAACCAGGTCATTGAGATCCAAATCTCACGCACCAAGCAATCTAAAAACAGTAATGATTTATATTTTTGAGGAAAAAAATGAGTTTTTCTTTGGATTAAATGCAACTAAACTTCCAAGGGATGTAGTTATAAACGTTGACCAAACTTTTCCTAGTTTTAGTAAGAAAACCAGATGAAAGAATCAAATAACTCAACCAGATCACCAAAACCCAGATCCCACGCACCAAACAATCTAAACGCAATAATGATTTTTATGGTTTTTAGGAAAAAAATGAGTTTTTATTGGATTAAAGTGTGAGAACTCCCGAAGGACGGAGTTATAAACGTTGACCAAACTTTTCCTAGTTTTTCGGAGAAAAACCCATAAAAGATTCAGAGAACTCAACCAGGTCACTAAAACCCAAATCCCATGCACGAAACAATCTGAAAACAGTAATGATTTTTATCTTTGAGGAAAAAAATGAGTTTTTTGGATTAAAATGCGAGTGAACTTCCAAATAATGGATCTATAAATGCTGACCAAACTTTTCCTAGTATTTGTGAGAAAAACTCATAAAAGATTCAAAGAACTCATAAAAATGGAACATAGCATGGTCAATTGACCAACGATTTCCTAGTTTTTTCAATTACAGTATTTGATAAAAACTCAATCAGATCACTGAAAACCCAAATCCCACACACCAAAAAATCTAAAAAGAATGATTTCTTTATTTTTGTAGCTTAAAAATGAGAGAAAACTTCACATAGGATGGATCTACAAATTCTGACCAAAATTTTCCTAGTTTTAGTAAAGACAATCTAATGAATGAAACCAAGATTCAAAGAACTCAAGAACACAAGAGCAAAAAGGAAGACATACCATGGCAGCATCGTACACGGGCAGCTTCTCCCCAGTGGGGATATGGATCGTCTTGGGGCCCACCTCCCCCTTCAGCAGCTTGTTGACCAAGCGGATGTTGGCGAAGGTCCCCCTCGCCATCACCTCATCATTCCCACGGCGGCTACCATAGGAGTTGAAGCCCCTCTGGTCAACGCCCCGTTCAAGGAGGTACCTTGCTGCTGGGCTGTCCCTGTGGATGCTCCCTGCTGGGGAGATGTGGTCGGTGGTGATGCTGTCACCGAGGAGGAGCAGGCAGTAGGCGTCCCTCACGCCATGAGGCCCAGGAGGATCCATAGTCATGCCCTTGAAGTATGGTGGCTCGTGGATGTACGTTGACTGGGTGTCCCAAGAGTAGAGAGTTGACGATGGGATGGAGAGCTGGTTCCACATCGGGTTGCCTCTCGTGATCGCCTCATAGGTGCTCTTGAACATCTCAGGGAGGACACTGGATTGGACCACCTGCAAAGGGGAGGAAGCGGAATAAGTCAACTAGCTGGGAGAGATGAAAAGGGACCAAGTCAACTGTGTGGCAGTGCTGACTGACCGTGGCGATTTCCTCGTTTGATGGCCATATGTCCTTGAAATAGACGTCCTTCCCGTCTTTCCCTCTCCCAATGGGTTCCTTCTCGAAGTCAATGTCCACCTGGAATAGTTTTCGGGGTAAAAAATATGGGAAGTCAATGGGCTGACTCAAACAGAAGGTCAACAGGGTTGCTAAATTAAAGTCTTATTAAAACATTCAGCGAGACTGGCTGTCCTCAGAGAGGAGCCAGGGGAAAAAAAAAAAAACCGGCAGGAAATGACCCACATACAGGGTCAAAAACCCAGACAGTATGCCATCTTACTAAGAGCTTTTCAGTTTCTTCCTTATTTTGTTGGTTGACCAAATCGTTCTTGCCAATAAAAGTGGGATCTTTAGAACTCATCGCACTACACTCTTGACCACATAAAAATCATCCTCTAATCTGTTGCTTTTCCCGTTGGTCAAAAATAACTGATGATCTTATCTTAGTTCACACCAGGTGATGATGATTAAGGATGGAACAAGGTCACCGTTATAATCTCCTGCTCTCTTACTTAGTTTGACACTTGCTCAAATATGATTCAACGAAGCCCCCCAAAAAGGCAGTGCTTTTGGTCTTCCGCTCTACAGGGTCAACACGCTTAATTCACAAGTCAACTCTACTGGGCACAAAAATGTAAGAAGCCATTGAAGACTGAAGTATCTTGGACTACTCACTGTGCCGGCGAGAGCATAGGCGACAACTAGAGGGGGTGAAGCCAGATAGTTAGCTCGAGTCAACGGATGCACACGGCCCTCAAAGTTTCGGTTACCGGAGAGCACAGCAGCAGCAACAATGTCTGCAAGCATTTCCAGTATAAATCAAATAGTACCATAAAAGGCCCCGGGAAGAGTGAAAAATAGGATGGAATGAACATGAGTGGATGAACAAAAAGCCAGAAAAGCCTATGATTAGTTACCATTATCGGATATTGCAGCAGCGACAGACTCATCAAGATCTCCAGAGTTACCAATGCATGTGGTGCAGCCATAGCCAACAATGTTGAAACCTTGTTGATTCAAATACTTCTGCAAGCCACTGAAAGCATAGATTGACAGAATATTTGTGAGAAATAAATTGGAATATCATCATCATCCCATGTACCCCACAAAGAAAGGGAAAAAAGAAACCACTAAGATCCATCCCATCCCATGTATTACGAATCTATACCTTTGGATAAGGTATTTGGTGACCACTCCAGAACCTGGGGCAAGACTTGTTTTGATCCATGGCTTAATCTGGACCCAAAAGAACAAAATAAAAAAGGTACCTAAGTTTTTACAAATCTGTAGCCCATGCAAAAACCAAAATGATTTTTCATTCCTTAAAGTATGGATCAAATGCTAAAATACGAACTATGTTTTGGTTCTCAGAAAGATGAGCTGTAACCAAAGGTATTAATTGGATATTGCTTCGACAGCAATTAAACTGACTTAGAGTTTCTCATCAGGGAGATCAATTCAGAGTCAACGCTTTCAAGTCCTACACCAAGATTTATATGATAACTGAAATGTGCCTCAAAACTGTTCACGGATGTAGCATAATCCATTATACATATGAAAAGAAGAAACTGATGAGAGATGAATTCCCAATACTATATTTCTAAACTGATCATAAAAAATGAGCAAGCATCCGCTAATACATATGCAAGAGTCATGTGTTCTATTTACTCATGAATATCAACTGCACAGTCAAATATGATGCTTCATAGTGAAAATAAAATGAAGATGATTGAATCAAATATTACTGATAAAAAAGATGTGCAGCTAGCAGCCTTAGAGCATTTCAATTGTCGCTTTTAATTATACACTTGAAAAGATGAAAAATATAGTCTTTGTGAGGCTAATTTAAATTAACTACATGATGGAAAACTGGCCATTTGCTTCCCATTTCTTCTCCTCCCTCTCTTCTATACCATTGATGAACTAAAACTGTGCCTAGTTCCTGGAAAATTGATTAGAAGCCAGTACCCACTGGATTTCCCCTAAAATCTCGGTTCTGGAGAGCCACACCACGTTTCGTCGAAGGACAAACTATAAACCCACATAAGTACACCTAAGTTGATAATATTACCATTACCGGACAAAGTAGGGATGAGAATCATATCGTATCACCACGTGGGGAGAAAGTCCTCTACTAAGCTGAGATATCTGATCTGTAGTCCATGTTTCGTCTTCACAATTCTGATCCATAGAATATCTTCTCTTTCCCAAAAAATTCCGCAGGCATATATACAGTCAAGGGCCTTGCTCACACCATGAATTCTGCCCAGTGCTGGATCTACAGCTTTCCATTTATTCGGTTCTTCATTTCTGTCAAACTTTTAATGATACTAATCCATCTGTCAAACAACATCTGCTAGTGGTAAGCTAAGGAACTAAGTGGTAATCCACTAGGTCGAAAGTCAAACAGCTTCTACTCAACGTCACTCTAATCAGCTTAGTTTCAAAGCAGTTAGTCCCTGGACCAGAACCAGCAGCCAGAGAACATCTTCAGTAGATTTGTGATCCCGGAGTCCTTACTCGCTTCCCAAGTCCAAGCACTATACTGACTCTGCCAATTCTACTCCCCTGAACAAAGTTTATCTCTCTGTTCTCCATTAAACTGAGGTTCTAACCCCTTAAAAAGAAATAAAGGGACAAGGTGGGAAGGATAATCAGGGACTACCTACATCTGCAGTACAACTGATATCAGTTCACATCAGCTTCAACTTTTGTCAAAAACAAGAGAGAAAGACGTGCCTTTTTTTTCAAGGGGATTAAGGATTTTCACATTGTAGGACATCTAAGTCGTTTCCTTTTTTGTTCTAGAGGTTCTTCCAGGTGAAGATTGTCACCTGTTTCTGCTCAAACATCCGGTCCAGGTTGTCTTCAAGAGAAGAAACAGTTCCAATTTGCCTCTGTGCAAGGGGACTACCGTAAGTATAATCACCAGATTACTGCTCCAACGTTGTAGTACAATCAAATGTCATGGCAAAATGTTAACTGACCCATCAAACGATAGGACGGTCCCACACTGTCATATGCATCGGTTCATATCATTTAATACGCCATAGTTCAATCCTTCAATAAAGCATGACTCTTCTACTTCAGGAATTGCAGGACCTTGATATTACTGATGGAAAAAAAGTGACCATAAGACAATGAATATCTACATGCGATCAAAAGGTATACCTGTTCATATCTATGAGGATAAATGTGCACGACTCCAGTCCCAAAAATACGCATAAAAGTGAATCATTTTCTTTGAAAACAGGAATATAAATGAATGTGTCATTCAGACCGACCTCAAGACCTAATTCACAGGCCTTTTTTGCCACAAGACCAGCCCCAAGCATGACACTAGGATTTGAGGTGTTTGTGCAACTTGTGATAGCTGCAATAACAACACTACCGTGCTTAAGCTCTTCAGGCTGGCCATGAAATGAAAATTTGACAACTTTCTCCTGTGATTCTTTTGGAACTGCAAAGCCCTGTAATCAAAGAAAATAACAACTTGAACCTCCATGAATGAATACTAGCTACGCAATATTGCAGGTAATATCAATGAAAATATAGTGTTGTTTCAGCATAGGATAGTGAGTAAATAAAATTTTGTTGCGGTCAGTACTTCAACATTCTTATAACATCACAGTTGAATTATAGATTTAATCGAGTTCTCCAAATAGTTCCAATTCATCATCATTAAATAGCCACATTTGTGCAAGAAAAAGATCTTATATTCTGTAATCAGACTTTGCATGTGACAACTAAACATCCAGAAGACTACCAATACCAAACGAGCTAACCTTGAAACCGACTTTATTACTTAAACAAGAATGCCAATCGGTCTTCATCTCTTTCAAAGGAACTCGGTCATGTGGCCTGTACCCAAATAACAGAAACTTAATATGACAAAACAGAAAGTATTGTCAAAGACATTCAGAACACAAAAAATGCCTAAACATCAGATGAATTACGTCAAGCACCTTTTTGGCCCAGAAATGCAAGGCTCAACCTCTGTAAGGTTCAATTCTAGATACGACGAATAAACTCTTTCGTTTTGAGGCTGGATCGAGAAGCACATATTAGTTGTCCACTTTACAAACGGAATTCGTTATTCACGATTTGCTCATCTAAAGTTTCTTAAAAAATGAGAAATCGAACGCTATTCCAACTCATTAAAATCAGTTAATGGCAGCATTACCTCACTGTAGTCCACAAACATTTTGTTTGCTCGCAGGTAAGCTTCTATCATTGCTACCTGTTAGACAGAAAAAGAGAGGACTTACACAAAGGACAATGGCACATTACCTTTCCATTCCTTTTTTATTATATATAAAGGAGGTACTCACAGTCTCATCACTTCTTCCTGTGAGTCTGAGATACTGTAAAGTTACATGATCAACAGGAAAGAAGCCCATTGTGGCTCCATACTCAGGTGACATATTTGCAATGGTTGCCCTATCGGCCAAAGACAGCTCGCTCATGCCCTCCCCTATGCACCATCAAAGAAAATCTTCAGTAAACGAAGTAGATTCAGACGTGACAAATGGTTTTGTTTTCAATAGTTCAAGGGATTACCATAGAACTCAACAAACTTGCCAACAACACCATGCTTTCTCAACAATTGTGTCACAGTCAGGACCAAGTCAGTGGCTGTGACACCGTCACCTAATTTTCCAGATAGCTTGAACCCAACAACACCAGGCAAGACCATGCTCATGGGCTGTCCAATTAAAGGCAGCATTAATACAAAATTATTTTGAAAGACAAATTAAGTCAATATTTATGCAAATTTTAATCACAAACAAAGAGAGTGCCAGTACTGTTCTACACAATGAGAAGTATACTTAAGCACCCAAAATCAATTAAGTCTCTAATCACTGAATTAATATGAGTAAATTAGATAACTGAAAGTATCCAAGATTCTTAGTAATGTCAAGATTGTGGGCTAAAAAAAGGAGACACACGTACTGTTTATTTATTTGAGCTCTTCAGTATAGTTGAAGATGAATTAAAATATCAACTCTAAATGCATCAAATACGACTGACTCTATGTACAAGTCATAAACTATGTCGATGAGAAAAAGAATCAGAAAACGATTCTTGCAAAATCATACATGCGGCTACAACATCAATTTCCACACAGACATGTACTGGTATTGCATTGAGTTGACCGTACAATTACTATGCCAGGGAGAAGCTTGATTATAAGTGACCCAATTTTATGGTGACACAAAAGGAAGCTCCTTATTCAACGGAAAATTTATTCATTGAGATAGGTCCTTTCCTCTTTTTCCTAAGAAAGAGGAAAGGACCTGGCTTGGCTCTTTCATTCATTGAGTATCTTATAAAGTTTAGCAGTATTCTTGGCAGTCTGTCACCAAGTTTCTCAAAAAAAATGTTTGTAAGAGCTTTTAAACTGGAACTGATGTTTGAGCTTGGTTGATATTTTGTTGTATCAATAACAAGAAAATGATTTATTTTACAATGGGAACTTTTTAGTATGCAGCAAGATCTCAAATATGATATCCGTTCAGAGCAGTGCCTTGAACTTTTACAGGGCAAAGGATAAGTTATTCTTTTGAACCTTAATAGCAAAGAGACCTGATTGATCCAGACGCTATTAAATTCTAAATTCATCGTTGGACCTTTGACTCGTTGTTCAGCAGAATGAGTCATAAAACTCACAAGAAGGAACATGCCTCTACCCTTGTGTGATTTGATAATGGTTAAGAGAACAATTACAAAGTTGAATTTACATGAAATCAAATTCACACATGTAATGACGAACAAAATAACGGTTATTACTAATATTCTTACCCACATACCTCTTAAATTTAAACTTAAAAGTATAATGCACTACAAGAGACACACGTTGGGTAAAAACTTCACACACGAGTCTTATGATTCATCACAAAGAAATATGTAAAAATGCAAAGCATCAAAAGGTCATAGGTGCATTGCACCGTTTACCTGTCCAAGCATTACAGCCTCAGCTTCAATTCCTCCAACTCCCCAACCAGCAACTCCCAATCCATCAATCATTGTGGTATGGGAATCAGTGCCTACGACACTATCAGGATATAGGAGTCCATCTGTATTGAAGACAACTCGACCAAGGTATTCCAGATTAACCTGAAGAGGTGGTAACGTAATTAACATCATTTTAAGAGGTAAACTTATCATCAAAATTGTGAAGAATGTGTAAACAAATCTCGAAAAACAAATAAGGCCACCTGGTCGGACTGAAAAAGTTATTAATACCTGATGCACAATACCAGAACCTGGAGGAACAACAAGCATGTTTTGGAAAGCAGTTGATCCCCACTTAAGGAAAGCAAATCTCTCTTTATTTCTATAGAACTCTAATTCCATGTTCGCCTGCACTGCATTTTCTGATCTTGCCAAATCCACCTGAACTGAGTGATCAATGACAAGATCTACAGGAACCTGCAGTGCAGAAAGATTTCGGAACTTAGCGAGGAAATTACTCTGCAAACAAAAAGCAGAAGATATGCGGCCAAAATTCGGCTTCGTTTTTTACGTCAGAATTCATTTAGAGAGTGTTCTATTGTTTTGTGTCGTCATTTCCCATCTGGGAGAATGCAATGTGTTGGATTTCATTTTTGATAAAAACTAGTACACAGGTTCAATGATCACCATTTCAGATTGCATAGAAAGAATCATCAAAAGCTGGTACAGAACCAAATATCAAGTGCAAAAACAATAGGAAGCGCTTTGAACCCAACATAGCACACGGACGCCTTTGGGTAAAATATGAGTTTCAAGACGTTTTCAAGAAAGTAAAAACCCAATTGAGGACAGTCTGGAAAGCCAAATAAAGAAAGTACAGCCTTGTTAATTCCTACATACTCCATTCAGGAGCCACCAAAAATAATTATTAAAGGCGTGTGCTCGTTCAAAGCATAAAGAAAAAAAATAACCATGGAACTATTCATAATTTACAAATGCCAATATTAGAACTGGTACCCAAAGTAAAAGATGGCTTGGACTTACCAAAGGGTTGATCTTTTTCGGATCATCTCCTAGATTTTGCATAGCATCTCTCATACAAGCAAGGTCAACAACAGCTGGTACGCCTGTAAAATCCTGGAGCACAGAAAGACTGTAAGAAATGAATTCCTGGGAAATATGATCTTAAAAAATGAAAAGAATTAACTTTTCTGACATCATTCTCACCTGTAGAAGGACACGAGCAGGTTTAAAAGGAATCTCAACTTGCTTGGGAGAGGTGTTCTCCCAATCAAGAATTTTCTCAACATCATTTTTTGTGACCTGGAAATTATCACAATTACGGATTGCGGACTCGAGAAGAATCCGGATGGAATATGGCAGCTTACCTGCGTGATAGGCACAAGTCAAAAAAAATGCCTCAGCCATGAAAAATGGAAAGAGAACAACTCAATCAACAACACAAAGTCCAAGTTGAAGCTGTGATCAATTACAAAAGAAATCAAAACTTCGCATAAAGGAAAACACGTCACTGGGGAACTAATCTCCAGTTTAAACCAAAAAAACGATACAAAAATGTTACTACATAAATTTTAGAATGAAATATAATCCAGGGTATGAGATAGTAAATTGTAAAAAAAGGAAAAACTGACTCTTCTTATACAGCGAACCATTCTACAGTGAGCCATAAAACAATCTTGTACGCATTATTCAGGCCACACGTGCAGGACACAACAAGCAGAAGAAGCAAATTTACCAATCCTCGGATCATTCAGAGCAGGTAGGCTGTAGTACTTCCCGAATTCACCACCTCCAGGCTTTGGAAGGCTAGTCAAAATCTCCTTAAAGGCGTTACCGTCATCTGCAATGCCCCAACACCAACATATCAACAAACAGTTAGTGTACATTCAACCAGAATCAGTGAGCCACACCAGAGTCTACCAGTCAAAACCAAAAAAGTTGACAAAAGTCCTGCACCGAAGAGGGGCAACCAAGCAAGCAAAGAATTGATCCATGGGCAGAATACGGACCCATGGCGGCGATCTTCCGCTGGAAACGCTCAATCACGACGGCGGACGCCCTGGCCGGTACTCTGAACGGCGGCACCCGACAGACTCCTCCTCGTCCTAACAGCCCGAGTCTCCGGTGGAGCTCAACGCTGGACCTGGAGAAGCTGAGAGACCGGCCGCCACCACCGACTGAACAGCCAATTCTCCTGCAGGGGACCGGCGACAGCGAGGACTGAGGCCTGGAAGCCCTGACAGGACCAACCCTGGCGAGGCCGGCAGTGGGGGGAGCCGCTTTATACATCGCCGCAGGGCGCCTCGCATCAAATGACGCCGGTGCGATGAGATGATGGCAGATAACGACGAGGATGAGGATGATGATCACCAGCTGATGACGGCAGACAGATGAGGGATGGAGAAGGAGATGAGGTATGGAGGAGAATAGAGTCGGTCACGCAAACCCTAGCTCTGGTTCTCGTATGTGGGAAGGCGGGATGGCGACGGCTGTCCCTCCGGCTGGCCGCTGCTACCGACGCCACCGCGTTCAGAGAACGCCGAGAAGCATGGGGAGTACCACGGGAAAAAGAAGGCCAGTTTTTTATACTTATACCTCTTCAAAACAGTAAATTTTGAATGTAACACTGAATGATGTATATATCGCATTATGCCCTTTAAGGGCATGATTTAATTTATTTTCATAAAAATCCTGAATATATTACAAACCCACCCACCCCCGTTGACTTTGACGGAACCCATGTCTGGTTCCACCGGTAAAGATTGAGCCTTGGCACTCATAAAGTGTGGGCTCAACCCACCTCTCCAGAATACACTATTCATCCCAATAGTAGCATTTTACCACTTATAGTAGGGTTGACTTTGCTGGAATGTTGGTATATGATATTGAGGAGGGATTGAATGTCTTAAGAGAACGAGGAGTCTCATGAGAGATAACCCAGTAACTAATAGTTGACTATGTTAGATTATTATAAAAAGGTAGTATAGATTGGGAGGAATAGTCAAAAGATGGATTCTTAGGGTATCATAGAGCATTTACCATCAACAAACTATTAAAGGAATCCCTATTAAGGGATAACCCCAACCTACTTAGCAACACAAAGAGCATATAGCAGTTGACCAAGAAACATGGCTATGAAAAAGGAAACTCATGCTTGAGTCAAAAGAGGATGTGAAGCAACTATGATTGAAGACTGCCATAAGGAAATCCTAGTAGTTACCATGAAGAAGCTATTAAAGGAATCTTATTGAGGGGGATACCCTAATCTACCTAGCTATACATAGTGCTTATAGCAGTTGACCATGAAAAATTGTTATGAAAAAAAAGAAGCTATAGAGCAAAGTGGGGGATAGATATCTTTAATTTACATCAAAGTGAGACTATAAGGAAACCCTAAGAACGCCTATAGTGGTCACCATTAATCCTATTGAGGGATACCCCAACCTACTTATCAACACAAAGAGCATATAATAGTTGACCATGAATCATAGTTCTGAAAAAGGAAACCCATGTTTGAGTCAAAAGTGAAACTTTGGAGGTATTATAGAGCAATTGTGATTGAATAATGTAAGGAAATCTTGTGAATGTATGTAGTAGTTGACCACCAAATACAGCTATGAAGAAGAAAAGTTATGTTAGAGTCAAAGGGGGGAATAATATATTTTGTCAATTGACATCAAAGTGGAACTTTGGGGATATTGCTGAGCAAAATCTTATTAACATCATCATTAAGAGGCTATTAAAGAAATCCTATTGAGGGATACCCCAACCTACTTAGCAATCCAAACACAGCTATGAAAAATAAAACTTATGTTGGAGTCAGAGGGAGGGATATATTTTGTCAATTGACATCAATGTGAAACTTTAGAGGTATTGTTGACCAACATCTTATGAATATTACCATGAAAGGAAACCTATTGAGGGTTACCACAACCTACTTAACAACATATAGAGCATATAGAAGTTGACCACCAAACACGGCTATGAAAAAAGAAACCCATGTTTGAGTCAAAGGGGGAGAGGGGGTATAGATTGATGTATTGGTATAACAAAATCTTGTGAATGTTACCATGAAGAGGCTATTAAAGGAATCATTTTTGTGAGAAATACCCCAACCTACTTAGCAATTATATAGAGCATATAACAGTTGACCTTGAAATATGGCTATGAAAAAGGAAACCTATGTCGAAAATCCTATGAATGTCTAAAGTAGTTGACCATAAACATTCCCTCAATAGAGAGGGAGGGGGGTGGATTTAGTTGGTTGGATATAAAAGACAGGCTTGAGGGGCATTTCAGAGCAGCTGCCACTGAATATTGCTAGATAAATTACATCAATGGTGGTACTACTACTAATAGTAGTAAGTTGGTGGTGGTGGTAGTAGTGGTTGGGAGGAGGGTTACGTTTTTCAATCCGAAATATAAAATAATTATGTTTCAAGCCAGCTAGGGGCCAAAAAGCATTTTAAAACTATTTGGGACAGATTTTAAATAAGTCTTGTGCTTATTTTTGGGAGGGTATTATTGAGAAAAAAGAAAGGTACGGACAACGGTCATCGCATGGGAAGGTGCACGCCCCTAGATGATATCAACACGTCATCCGACCTCTTTTGCGTATACACCAAGAAGACTCGCTAAATTTCCATTTTCTCGCATAAATATATTATATTATATAAAACCCCATGCCCGAACATTATCTCTCTCTCTCGGTAAATATTCTGCAAGTGAGAGAAAATAGCTCATTTTAAGACATAAAAAATAAAATTAAAAAATAACTAAAAATTTTAAAATATCACGATAGCTAGTGTTATCCTCGAAAATATAAGGTTAAAAATGTAAAAACATTCTCAAAAAGATGGGGGGTGAAGGGGCCCCACTAAGCACAGCAACGACTGGAGTCTCACTAATTATTCCCGTTTTGGGCCACATGAGCCCGAAGCATGGCCCAAGATTATTAGTTTCGGGCTACAAAGTCAAGCCCGATCATCAATTTATGGGTGACAACGGGCCGGGCCCAATGAAAACCGGGCTTGGCCCGTTGAGATTTTAATTATTGGCGTCAATAAAGACCAAGAGGGAATTTAAAGAAGATCGAGGACGTACCTTATGAAGATCAGGCCCCAACAGAATGGCCAGAGGCCAACTCAGCTCGGCCCGACCTCAGGCCGGACCCTATAAAACCAGGCCGGGCCCAAAGCTGAATCTAACAAAGGAGCTACATATATAATAAATCTGGGCCCAAGAAAACGTGGGCCCCACAGAGTATGTTAAGTGGGCCCGATCCACAAGAAAAAAGTCGACCCAACTAGATTTCAGCTACCACCATCCTCATCCACAACCAGATTGAAGCTGAGTTGGAACCCAAGATACACTGACATATTCACCCCCTCAAAAATACATTTATTGCACTAAAATCCACTGAAAATCGCCAGCAGGCAGGACCCCCGCCTCATGCATCTACATTTTTCGAATGGGAATGTGTTCATAGTTGGATATTATTTTCTAAGATTGACTGGAATGCGATACATTTAAATTAAATAATTGACTCAGCATATTCATGAAAGTATGATTCATGGACGTTGCAGGCAAAGGAGAGGAACAGTAAGAACGTGGCAAAATGAGGGCACTCACCATGTTTGGAGATTTGCAACAGGGAGCTGCTTCTTTGGGGAACCCAGAATGGACCTGGTTTGTGATGTGTTCTTGAGGAGTCAACCATGTTGAAGATGAAGGAGAAGCTGAACTGGGGTTACAGGTGTCAGGTTGGGGGCTGCCATGTCCCAGGCTTGAAAGACTTGCCCGATCCTGTCGGCTCCGTCGACCTGAAACAAGGGTTGGATGCAATTCAAGGGGAAAAAAAAAGAGATTATTGACAAGTTTATTGACAAGTCACTTGAATTAGAAATAGTTTGTCAATGCTGCTTGCAGTTTTCTAGTCATGGATTCTATAGTTAGGGTTTTAATAGGGTTTAGGATTCAGGACTTAGGGTTTATATTAATGGGTTCTCTCTCCTTGGGTCCATCAGCCTGAAGAAAGGGTCGGATCCAATTTAGGGGAATTAACATAGAAGCAAGTAACAGCCAAGATTATCAGCAAATTTTCTTTCCAAATGACCTGAATTAGAAATATTTTTAAACGCTGATTGAATTCTTCTGATTATGGACTCTAGATTTTAGGGCTTCGATAGGGTTTAGGATTCAGGACTAATGGTTTATCTTGATGGGAGGAACCCTAATATTATTGGGCATCTCAAGGAACTGGGGTAACCAGGCGAAGAAAAAATAAGTCCTCTCTCCTTGGGTCCATCGACCTGAAACCAGGGTTGGATCCAATTTAAGGGATTAACTTAGCAGCAAGCATCAGCCAAGATTATTGAGAAATTTTCTTTCGAAATCACTTTAATTGGAAATAGTTTGGGAATGTTACTTGAAGTTTTCTGGTCATGGATTCTAGATTTGGGTCTTTTATAGGTTTAAGATTTAGGATTTAGGGTTTATATTGATGGGAGAGAACCCCCAATATTATGGGGATCTCAAGGGCTTAGGGTAACACGGTGAAGAAAAAAAGGGTTCATCGACCTGACACAAGGGTCAGGTCCAATTCAGGGGAATTAACTTAGAAGCAAGCATCAGCCAAGGTTCTCTACAAATTTTCTTGCGAAATGTTTTCTGGCCCAATTCATCAATGATGCTTGGATTTATCTGCTCATGAACCCTAGATTTGGGGGCTTGATGGGTGTAGGGTTTAGGACCTTAATCAATGGGCCGACACTAGTGTTATGAGGCTTTCTGAGGTTTAGGGCATCATCCCAAACAAGGATCAGACAACTTTAGAGAAATTAAGTGGGAAACAATTAATCAGGTAAGATTATCAACAGGTTCCCTTTCAATGTCACTTGATTTCAGAAATAATGGATGTCCTACTTCACGAATGCTGCTTGTACTTCTCCGTTCACAAAGTTCAGATTTTGATTTGACCCAAGGTTTAGGGTTTAGAATAATGGGCTACCCACTAATCTTATGAGGCTCCTTAGTGTTGAGGGCGTCACAAAGATGGAGAATTAGTGCAATTGGGGTGGCGAAATCTCCCAGAAAATCAATAATTTAAGGTGCATTAAGATTTTTTTCTGAATCAACCCGCCCAATTCCACCAGTTCAACTGCATCCAAAAATAAAGAAAGCATACCCACAAAAGGAAACTCGGCAAGCAGATGGAAGTTTACCTTGCTTCGTCTCCCGTTGCAGCTGATACATCCTCGGAGTCATTGCCTGAGTTTCGAATTATAATGAAAAAAATTTAGGAAAAATAACAGTCAGCACATTATTTCAGAGAAACATTTTTTGTATTAAGCCCACATTCTACAACAGATTATCTTCAAGACATGGTGGGTGGGTGGGTTTCCACTACTCTCAATAATAGAAAAAGGAACTCGCTTTATTCTGGCTAAAACTAATAGACACCCTTTTTTCATTTTTTTCACATTTATATTTACGGTGCATTGTCGAGCCTAATAAGATAAAACAGCTTGATTTCTGGAAAAGGAAAAAATAAGATTCTAATATTAACCATTTGAAAGCAATGTTCAAGATGCAATAAAAATAAATTAATTCAAGTAGAGTTATCTTAATATCATAATCAGCGACTTTGGTAGAATAGCCCATGATTAATCTAGAATATATATATGCCTATCAGTGCTTATGTTTAGATTTTGAAAAAAATGTTCAAGAAATAACGGAGATAACTGGTATAATTCAACTAGAATCATTTTTACATCACTCACAGATGTTTGCTAAAGTAATCCATGATTAAGCTTTATATAAAAAATAAATAAGACGATATGTTATATATTTATATATCATGATGATCATCATCCTCATATGTAGAAGGGGAACTTACGGTATATACCTCTGTTTTCATCAAAGGAAGCGCCAGGAAACTGCTGAACAAAGCTTTTGAGGTCGGGGGACTGAATTTTACCTGGAAGAGAGAATAATCACTTAACAACATTAAATGTTCAGGATCATGATGTTTCTAGATTTAGCCAACTGACGCAGAATAGATACCATATCAATTGACTAGAAACTTAAAAGATGATGAACATAAAATGCATTAATCCAGTTACATAAATAAATACAAGCATTAATCTCATAAGATCTCCCCGTGGAATTTGGACATAACCTTTTCTAAGAAGAATTGGTTTTAGTCCATCGGTGAACTGGTCAAATACCCATACATAAATATTGACTAGAGAGTGTGGATCCTTGGGATATTACTACGCTGAATTAAGGAAAATTTAGATAATGATGTAATGTATGGATCATAATTTAACGAAATATATGTAGTGCATCCCCTTTGGATTAGTCTAGATTGGGGCAGTCTCAAGGTCAACACTCTATTGTGACTCATGGGGGGTTCAAGCCAAATGACCATTTGGTATGAAACGGACTATGAAGCAGACAAAAACACCTCCTATGAAGCAGGGTTTTCATATGGAAAATATTATTCAATGATGTTTAGAGGATTAAAGTTTCACAAGAGCCTCCTTAGTCATCAATTCTCGCTATTGTAGTCCATCCATTAAGCAAAGTAAAAGTGACTATCCATTTTCTTCTTCATCCCAAATCCTTAAAAAGGTGCCGACAGGAGTAAAGGAGACTCTTTTACCCTAGTATAAATTAAAAACTGATCAGGAAACCAGCAGGGTTACCCAAGTAGGTTGTAATCGCTAGCCCACTAGCAGATGTACAAAGGAACCTTAGGCAGAAAGCACACCTTTTAGGGGGGAAGGGGGCAACTCTGTGTTGAAATTAAGTCCCCCCCTGATTCCAAAACCGAATATAGAAACAAAAGCTATACTATTTAGAAGAAAAATCAAATTTATCATTTGCTGAACTCAAGTTTCCAAGGAAGTCTATAAATAACTCATGAACCCCTTCTGGTCTTTATTTTAAAAAGATTCAAGTGAAAGATAACCATCAGACAATAGAAAGAAATTAGATTCTCTCTAACTATCCTAAAACTTTGAAAATTAAAAGTGGACTGGATAAGGTTACATAGACGATTGTCTTATTTCTTACCAGTGCTTCTGCTATGTTGAACAATGCCACCCTTGGACTTCCTTTCTTCCTCTTCTTCTTTCTTTCTCACTGCATGAAAATATTCAAGGTTCATGGACAATAAAATAAATAAATAAACGGATAAATTCTGTCTGAAGTGGAATCGACAGACATTATGTCTCATCATTCTTCTATGACAATAATGGCTGGTTTTATACTTTACACATAAAAACGAAACTGTAAATATCTGACACATGAAACAATGTAATGGAAACAGATACAGTAAGAACAAAGGAATTGTGCTCGACTTTCAAGTTTGAGAATAGAAAAGAGATAAAAGGTACTAACCATGACCCAGTTTCTGGCATCAGGTGTGTAAGAATTACATTGAAGCGTTAAAAAACATCAGATAGAGAGAGGATGGAAGGAAGGAAAAGAATGGTGCATTAGTCAATTTTACGTGCTACTAACAAATCCATTAATACATCAGAACACTTAGAAAACAGGTATATTGCAGCTGAAAAAAATGACCTTCTTAAAAACAGAAATTTCATATACCAAGAACTCTGAAATTATATCAGGTGACTCAATCATGAGAGCCAACCAAGAAACCCCAAAACTTAAGTCAGCTCAGGCTGTTGTCATCAGATTTGCAATATTCACATAGGTCAAACTAATTTCGGTTCAATGGTAATGCTTCTTGATATGGAATGCAATTTTCCTTCTTTACTGCAAAATCGTTATCTTTAGGGTGAGCTCTTTTCTTTACTCGGGATCTTCATGTTTTTGCATTTTAAATGATAATAATCATTTCACTAAAAAATCATAGCAAATAATCTCAGCAAGCATGGTGTCCAAGATCATACAATTCAATTACACAATGAAGTAGGGAGATAGAAAAAGGTACCCAACTGCAAAAGAAAAAGCACTCAATCATAATGGCGAATTGAGAGATGCTTACATTCAATATTTATTCTGAGACGTTCACGTCTTGCCTCCAGCTCAAGCATTTCCTGAAGATAAGCACCACAAAAACAATTGCAGTGGCTACCATTGAACTATATTTCATTTTGACAAAAAAAACTGCGATCAAACATGAACTAACAAAGTGATTGTAAAAGATAAATTTTTGGAAGTTACAAGAAGAAAACCAGCATATTACGTTGCTTAAAGACCATACGTGAGAAGAGAAAAAAACAAAAAATATGATAGATTGTGGTGATGGGATTTTGACTTAAACAAAAGGATGAACACAACTGAGTTTACTTATATTAAATAGCCTCTTCAGCTCTTTGGAAGACGATTATGTCTGAAGCTGTGATCATTCTTTTGTCTCATCTAAAGCAGATCCATCTGAAACATGGTTTCCTAAATAAAGAGAGTAATAGAGATTTTCCAGCGTTTGGACATGAGAGCAAAAGATTCATTCCATCAAGAGAGCAGCAATTAAGGTACTGTCTTCCCGAAGTTGAAGATGCCCATCCCATAATAGACCCTCCAACATACTTTTTTTATAAATTTCACAATAATACAAAATATTTGCAATAAGTTCCTTCTAATATGTTACAATGAATTAGTTTGGCAGAACCCTAAAATTAAGGTATAGAAAAGTTTTTATGCTCATAAAAACTTTTGACTAATAGTCTTATGACAATTGAATTTCAGGGAGCAAGTTAGAGTTGATCCAAAAGGCATTGCTAAATATGTGAAGTGACCATATGATAGTGTACCAACCTATCTAATATAGTTTTTTGGCAATTATGTTGAAAACATATGGAACAATGCAAGATGTTAAGTTACAGCACATTCAGTGATCACTAACATTGTCACAAAGACCCCCTGAGTTTTGTGATTTTCATTCAATAATAATGAAAAATGAGGATTATGCGGAAGAATTAGTTGGGGAAATGCAAAAATCTTTCATAGAGTTCAGTTAAAACGGAAGATGATAATCACTATCCTTGCCTCAGGAGAAGGAGCTTTCTTCCGTTGTCCATTCAGCCAGCATATCCACTCAACTACAATCACATGTATCCACAACTAATAAGGCCAGAAGAGTTTGAAAGGCAGAAAAATCACTTGGCTAGAACATTATATTTACTTTGGCTCAATCAACTGTTCAGACAAACAAAAACCATATACAAATGATGTCGACAAACAAAATAAGCAAAGCAAATAAACAAAACATTCCATGCGTTAAGAATCCATTATCTAATTTGAATGGTTACTTTTCAATTGGAGGTCTGTCATTAATGAAATCAACTGATGTGATCATGAAGAAAGTTCTTCAGCTTCAGAAAAAAATCAGAGCAAACCAGAGTTGACAAGAGAAGCTAGCAATAAATGAACTATAGTTTGCATACTACTAACCAGGAATCGAAGTGGGATCATCCTCTCCTTTGAATATTACCCAGCGCTTCTCCTTCACTGCCATACATAGTTAAGATCAGAAAACAAGATCCTCAGACAGAACTAGAGAAATAAATCGACAATATCCGCTTTTAAGCAATGTATATGTTAAATACTTGATGCTGCTGCAAGAGAAATGTCTGCACATCCCACAGAACGCCATGGAAGAAAATAACAATCTAAGCTACATTTTACAACAAAAAATTCTCTCAATAGTCAGGTAAAATGCAGAACTTATAAGTCGAAATGTTTTGAATGTCATGAAGTTAAAACTTGAGAGAGTATTGATTTCTATTAAGCCTAGTAAAAAAGTATTCCAATTATGACCCATGACTGGAAAAAATTGAGGAGGTTACTTCCCAGACATTTTTCAATACTGCCTATTCCACTATTGTGAATCAACATCTCATAAATATAATCATTGAGCAGTCCAACAAGTAACATTACTCCTAGGAATTAGGCGGATGCAAGGATGCATTGTAAATAATTGTTTAACAGGAAAGGACTAAAACTAGTTGTGATCTTTATGAACTGTAAAATTTAATTGATAGTCAGCTCTTGTGTGTGATCTAGGCTCAGCATTGCACGCTTATGGTTTTTATGACCTATCAACTAGTGGGCTCAATAAAAGCTATTCAGTTTGAGGTTCCAAGCAGGTGAGATATTGCGTACATCACAAACAAGTTGCCTTGCGCCCCTTTACAAAGCTATCATTATTGTGTCATCATCATCAACATCAACAATTCGCAGAAACGTTTCTCAGATGGCTAACAGCCTAGAGGTAAAAGAGTCAGGTGAAGACTATCCTAATAAATACTCGTGCATTTCTACTTTCTTCCATGAAAGAAAAATCTTAGATCATACAATAGAATCAGAATCAGCTTACTTCTACTTACACTGTCATCATTACCGTCATCATCAATAAGCACACGTATCTTGAGAATGTCACGGAGAAACCTTTCTCAAATGAAGGCTGGAATTCCATTTGCCGCAATAAAGAGTTCAAAAATAAGTCCTCACTCGTCTATATGTCCACTCACAAGAATGCCCCGGATTATTCACACAACACAAACTGAATCACTTTACGCCCTTGACAATGTCAACATCATCGTCATCAGATCGCATAGTTAGGAATCAAATATAATGGCCACCATCTGTTCGCAGAAGTTTTCAAGAAAAAAGCCTAAAATTTTTGTGCTAGATAAACCAAGATAGTTATAGACAGAAAGAGAGGTCAGGACAACGGACGACAGAAAAAAATAAAGCCTAAAAATTTCAGGTAGTGAAAATTCCTAAGAGCAAAAGGCGAAGATTCCCCGATCAAAAAAGGTACAGAAGGACAGAGACATGAGGGAGAGATAATCACGATTAGAATGGTGACTCACAGGCACCGTCGACCTCCTCCTTCCTCACAAAGTAGCGGTTGCCGACCTTGTCCACTCCCACCAGCGACCGGGAGCTGAAGAAGTTTGCAACCTTCGAGAAAAGCTTCGACATCGTCTCCTCCCCGGCTTCTCCTCGCACCTTGTCTTCAACTTAGTACCATTTCCCCCTTACCACATCAACAAGTACAAGGTTCAGATGTAGAGAAATCCCTCGAGAAGACCCGTCTGCCGAAATCAGGAGATTCCCCCCTCCGAACACAGTCAATTTCAGAATACGACCATCTTCTTCAACTCAACCCTTCCGCTTCCCTTCCCCCTTCCCCTTCCCCGCCTTCGCCTCTCTTCCTCCGGAGCAATCTCCCCTCGACGCAGCTGTGATCGCCCCACTGAGATAGGCGTCAAGGTGAGATCGACTGTATCATATAGTTTTTATACTTATCCTACCACATAAATATGTATTATTCTGAAACATCCTCATTGGGATGTTTTTGTATAACAAACCTCAATGTTATAGATATGTCCCTACATTGCTCCGTGGAGGGTATATGTAAACTATTTATTTATTATAGGGGGATATTTCCAAGACGCTGGAACCTTCCCCATTTTAAACTGGTCTTTCCCGCCTATCCCTTTCTCTCTCCCTCTCCCTCTCTCTCTCTATATATATTCAACCCATGTTCTCTCTCCCTCTCTCGATCTCAAGGCGGTTCTCAAACGGATTCCTCTTCTTCCTCCTACCTGTTTTCCCGCTCCCCCCTCTCTCTCTCTCTCTCTCTCTCTCTCTCTCGCATCGTCGCCATGAAGGAGAAGATGAGAAGCACTGGAAGATCCGTCTCCGCGTCCAAGATCGAGGAGAGGATCCACAGGTTCCTCCGGCCGGGGGCCCTCGCGCGCTTCCGGGACTCCCGGAGAAGCTCCCTCATGGGGCAAAGGGGTGGGATCTTCCTCCATGGCGACCACGGCCGCCATCAGGATAGCCTTTCCCCGCTTCCCTCCTCATCTGCCGTCGATGCGGAAGCCACCGTCACCTCTCCCCCGATCCCCGCCGCTGACGGCCTCCCGTGCTTCTTGACTGGAGTTAGCGGTCCGATTTTCCCCCAGAGGAAGAAGCTTCTCGCCGCCAAGGCCATGATCCTGGTTCCCGTCAGTCCTGCGGGGCAGGACGCAGCTGATTTTCCGTCTCTCGGTGCCTTCAATCCAGATTTGCTGCTCGTCCACTGATCCGGCCTGCAAGGGAAGTCGTTTTCTCCGTAGAACTGAATTTCTCCTCTTTTTCCCCCATCGCCTACGGCTCTTGTAATTAGTATATTGTGATGGTGCACTGATCCTGTAATCATTTGGCCGGATATAGAAAGAAAAAGCTTGCGTCTGTGTGGATTATCCTGTCATCATACAATGCATCATGCATATATTTATGGCTGCTGATCTATTGGCTCTCTGGATTTGCAGAAAATTCTCTCTTATTCCACTCAAGAAGAAATCTCTCTTCCTCTCTAGGTGGAAGACGGAGACTGAATTCTATGCATTCGATGAATGCAGCTGCAACTAATAATATTTTGACCTCGAAATCCCCCATTGTTTGATGCATTGTTCAGTCAACATATTACGGAAGTATCCAAGTAAAAGGGGTAGAATTGTTCAGGGCGTCTTGCAGTCAAAATATCTTGTACAGGGCCCCGTAAGGGTAGGGGGAGAGAATAGTAAAGATAGTTCTCGGTGAGAACCCTCTCGGATCGACCCTCGCGAAGTGGTCACCACTTTTCAACAGAATCCTCTTTCGAGATTTTCCTTAATCTTTTTCTTGTTTTTTTTTTTTCAATTGTGTCCTTTAATCCTGCTATCATCAATAAACATTCTTTTCCCTCTGTCAATCTGTTCATCTTTCTCTCCCTAAATTCCGAGACTTCTTCCTCGAAATCAGTTGGTCTAATCATATGAGTATTAGAGCTAAGTTTTGTCATATCCACCCAAATCAAATAGTAAAGTCAAATAACTGGAAAAGGAGGTCGATGAACTCTGTCAGGATCTGCCTGACATCAAACAAGACGTGGCTACCTTCCTGAAGCTGTTCAAGAGTTTCATCTTCAACCCAGACATCATCTACCACGTACAACCCAGAAGAAGGCGTCCAGTCGAGGTTGGTCAACTCCACTTTTTTTGTCAACAGGGAGGACTGTTCCCATGATATTGGCATCTCCTTCACGATTTACCCCAAGAGGAATCGACAGCAGCTGCCAGTTACAATCAAGAAAAAAATTTGAACCATGGTATGGCGCACATAAGCTCAAAATGCTCCTTTTACTGGTGAAAACTAAGGGGATGGGTTTTTTGTGTTGAATTATATTTTTCAGTACACCGGCTGATAAGACCTAGGAAATTAATTGATGTAGGAATGAGTCTTGAGGGCAAACCCTTCACCTGGTTTTAATGGATGGCGGAGCAAGAATGTTTAAAAAATTAGGATAACCTTTTGCAATCAACTCTTGGCACATTTTAGCAATAATTAGTCGGGGTCCCTCTGCTAACACTTCCTAGAAATTGAATAGTAAGATTTTGACGCAGATTATTGAGAAAATTCAAGTTAATGGTTGCAGTAATTGGAAATTTTATTGAATTAATCTTTGAAAATACCTTTGAGATGTTTGGAACTAAAGTTTGTTTCCTTAGGTAAACTGAGATTATTTCCTCTGCCCCTAAAAAGATCTCAAATGTTTTTCTACCTAACAAGGAGAACCCAAGGGGGGCAAAGATGGAACAAGTACAATCCATAAAGGGCAAGCTCTAAGAAAAATTCAATCACCCTCAGAGATCCAAGCCCAACACACTCAAGTTTTGTGCTTCTCGTGTAATGAGAAGTATTCCCAAGGACATCACTATCAACTTGGGTTACAAAATCTAGTGGTCAGACAATTTTTTTTGGAGATTTTACACATAAGAGCTCACAATTAATATCAATTTCATGGAATCGTCATCTTACACCTTGAAATTTTGAAGCTACATCAAAGAGAAATAATTTTATCTCAAGATAGATTGAAGCACCAAATCACTTGAGGCAAAGTGGAAAGTAAAAGAATTTGCCAAGGCAGTTTGATCAAACTACAATTGTTTATAATAATAGAAGATTTTTTACTTTTCCCACTAGCAAACATAGATCTTTGAATATGAATGGATGAATAGTATGAAAAAAAGTGAACTAGATATGGAATAGAGAACCCTATCACTTCTAACATACCAACAACATGAGGACCTTCAAGCTAATTCTCAACCAAATCGACAAGGTGTTTCCTTGAAATTGTTATCAAAGTTATTAATTAAAGGAACAAGCCTCTGATGAAATTATATTAGGTCACACCAAAAGCCATGAATGTACACTAAGCCACCTATGTCACAAGAACCTAGGAAACATATCTTCAAATTTAATTTTTGAAGGTATTTAAAGAGATTAACCAACTTCCACCCAAAAGAGAATTGACGAACCCAACTCCAAACTTATCAATAATATAGACTTTTGTTATCCTCACATTTAGGAGGAAATTGAGTGATTCATCTGAGAGATGTGCATCGCAAGCATCATCTTGCAATCCACCAATTCTTATTCAAGCCTAACACTTTTGGTAAAGAAGATGGCTTGTGAATTTTTTATTTGAACTACCACACAATCAATAAACTCATGATCTTTAGACATATTTATGATCTTATTTGTTGAAGAATTGATTGATGAATTCCATGACACCATTTTTTCCAAGATTGATCTAAAGTTAGAGTATCATTAAATTCAAATAAAAGAAGAAGACATCTTCAAGATAGCATTCTAAACACAAGAGGGATACTAAGTTTTTTCTCATCATTATTTCAATCTTTTCAAAATCTCAATGACCTTTCAAACTCTCATGAATTGCATAATTTTGATAATTCTTTGAAAAATTAGCTCTACTCTTCTTTGAAAACATTTTTATTTTCAACTCCAACAAGAAAACATGCATGCAATACCTATTCTAGGTTTTCTCTCTACTTTAGAACATCAATTACACATTAACTCAAAAGGTGTGCATTTGGGTAGGATAAAATTGACTAGTGGGACAGTGAGTCTCCACCAAATGTGTAAAGATGAAACAAGAGAAAAACAAGTGGTGTCGAAAAATTTATCTCCTACAAATATGAGAGAATTACAAGAATATATGGGCTTGACCATATATAATTACTTTTTTGGGTATGGTTGGATATATAATAGCAATGTGTTCCTTTAGGAGTAAGTTGATGAGACGGTTTTCCAACATCATAAGAAAATAATGACAACAACATATGTAGTGACACTTTCATATATTTTTAGTGCCTTTTGAATTAGAAACTGACACATACCACATCAAGGTTAGAGCAATACTCATGTAGTGTCAATAACACATTGTATTCTTCAGTCATACATTTTCATCATCAAATAAATTAAAAAAAATTATGAGCATGAAATAATTGTGGTATTCATTGTGTTGAAATAAAGACATTATTTATTAGGAAAAATATTTATCATTTACACAAGTCAACATAATTTAAAGTCTTCTTAGAGCAATGACATAATTGGTACTTGAGGATCAGAGGTGGTTGTTAAAAAATTTGAGATTCAGTACAAGGCCAAAGTTGAAAATTTGGCAATAATACTTTGTCTCAAAAATCTAGTGACATGAAGCTCCAATCAACTAAAGTAACATGGCTACAATTGCTCAATCTAGATTTGATTGCATGAGAGAATCAAGCAAACATGTTGCTAAAAATAATTATTAGTGAATTATAGTAAAATCTAGAGAACTTCCAAAGATTTTGACTACAACACGACCATCTTTTATGTTAGAGATGATTAGTACTATCAAATGAATCCATGCTCATAGATTTAATTTTACATAAATTTCATGACTCAATAATAGGCGAGTAGTTATGTTTCATTAGAAATATAAAATAATTAGGTAAAATATATACTCATTGGGGATGAAAAAGATAATTTAATAATATGTACAACTTTGTCCTCTCAATCAGTAGAGTAAGATAGATACTTTATCTCTAGGTGGCTTCCTTCGACCACTTGCCATCCTAGAAAAAAATTGGTACAACACTTTTATAGATTTTATGAAAGGATTACTAAATTCAAATGAATTTAATATCATATTTTTGTGTTTGTCAATTAACTGACCAAATATTTTCATTTCTCTCCCTTTCAAACACTTTATCTCTAGTTGGCTTCCTCCAACCACTTGTCATCCTAGAAAAAAAATTGGCACCACATTTATATGGATTTTATGAAAGGATTACTAAATTCAGATGGATTTAGTGTCATTTTGTGGTTGTCAATTGACTGATCAAATATATTCATTTCTCCCCTTTCAAACATCATAAAGGTTTTTCTTTGTAATATCATTCATTTGCATGAGATTTTAACCTCTATCTTGACATATCGTGCATGAATTTTTATGAGTAATTTATAGAGGGAGCTATTTAGAATATAGATGACCTTTCTATATATCACAGTAGTGACTATCATCCCTAGATATTATGCAAAAAAGGTGGTAAATTATGGGATCAAGATCTACATAAGGCGTTTCACCAACGATCTTCCTAAATAATGGAGTACGCGGCCCAATTAGGCCAAATTTTAACACAAAACCAACTATCACTCTTTTACAAATATCGCATCTTTCAAGATTATTTATAGATTCCCCAATCATACTCGAATATTGAGATTCTAAGCTAAGTAAAGATGTCATGGAAATACATCCACAAGAAACAGACAAAGTACCAAGGCAAGCCAAACAACATTTTATCCAAATATGAAGGCTCATACAAAGGCTCATGTAGACATGAAGTTACAAGATGTACACTTTGGCTATGTTGTTTATTCTATCTTTGTTTGAGACATCACTTACTATTGCTCTCATGATGTTTATATGAGAAAGCTCATCATGCTGCATGTTATAGGAGGTAAAATGACAACTAGGAATCATCAATCAATGACACGAACTTGATCGTCAACATATCATAGAAGTATCTAATTTAAAAGGTAGAATTGTTCATGGCATCTTGCAATCAAAATGTGATTCAACAAGGTTTGTAGTTATAGAGAGAGAAAAGTAATTCCTAGTGAGAACCCTATTGGAGATTAACCCTCTTAAAGTGGTCATTGTTTTCAAAGGAACCCTTTCTTCAGATTTTTCTTAATCTTTTCCTTTTGTCTTTTTAAGTGTGTTCTTTAATTACAATATATCGTCAATAAATATCCTCTTTTTTCTCCCTTAATCGATCTAGATATCTTTCTCATTGGATTTTGATACTTCCTCCTTGAAATCAGTGGGTCTCATCATTCTTCTCCAAACATGGCCTCTAGCATCTCAGACATAGTTTAGAGATAGAAGAGAGGAGAGAGAGAGAGAGAGAGAGAGAGAGAGAGAGAGAGAGAGAGAGAGATTGCCACAAGCACATGACCAGAAGAAATGTTTATGGGCTTCTTCTGAATTATATCTAATGGGCTTTCTTATGAAGCCCGAAATAGGGATGGGTTATGGGTCCTAACTGGCTCATTAATGGGCCCATCACAGATGTACTAAATTTGGGCCCTTCCTTTTTAAGCATGATATACCAAGGCCCGAGCTAGACATTAGGAATGTTTTATGTGTGATGGATTCATTTTATTTTTTAATAGCATAAAAATACGTAATAAATATAGAGCGTGGCCGAGTGGGCCCCAAAGTTTTTTTAGAAATAATTATTTAAAGAGTTAAAGATAACGATATTCCGCTAGGAAAGTACGTCAGGGGCAGCGTCCGGTGCGATGATTCCTTTCTCTTTTTTAAGTTAAAGAACTCCGGCGTCCCCCTTCTCTCTCGAGGTTCCACACTCATCTCTCTCTCTCTCTCTCTCTCTCCGGTCCCTGTGGGGAAAGGGAGAGGGAATGGCAGGGGAAACGAAGAACAAGTACGATCGTCAGCTCAGGTACGTCTGTCCTTGGTGCTATCTTCTCGGAGTTTCCTCTGAAATTCAGGCCCTTGTTCCCATGGTTTGCGGAGGACGAATGCGCCTCAGTTGGACATTCCGCATGGCTCCTCATCCTCCGCAGCTACCGTCGGATGCGCTTTCGGGGACGAGAGAGGATTCCCGATTGGCTTTTTGGCGAGTCACGGCGTGATCAGGCGCTTGCTTTCTGGGAATCGTATGCGGGTTTTTAGCTAATCCGGTGGCATTTACTGCGGACTAGCCTCCTGAAAGGGGAATAACAGAGAGAGAGAGAGAGAGAGAGGACGTTTGTGGTCGAGACTGTGCCTTGTACTGTTTTGACATTGGGGGGGAAAAACAGTTTCTAGAGTTTGGCCTCATGTACTGGTCTAGGCTGAGGCTTTTACTTTTCAATCAAAAGGGCGAGCAGTCTTTGGGTTGATTGGGCGACTGATATGTTCTTTGCTTGTAAAGTTCCATCAGAATTGATCCTAATCTGTAGTGTTATGTCTGGAACTTCAAGCTTGATCATTTTCTGCGCATCCCATGTATAGTGACTGTGCGGCAGTTTGTTTTGTCTAGTTCTTGCTTGCTTGGAACTCTGGAAGGATCTTCCTTTTGATTGATGTGCAAGGACATTCAAAGATTGCTGATGGTCATCGAGTATAGGGTTCATAAATTTTCCTTGTCTGTCATGCAAGGTTTTGAACATTAAAAGTTCGTAATGCTTGTCTGATTGTTTCTGATAGGAGTCACATATTTCTTATTTTGATCGAGTTGATAAATTATTTTTTCATTGCATTCATACATAATTCTGTCAACAGAAAGTGAGGATAGTACATTATTTTGTATTATTCTAGTCACGTTTTGGGATGCATCCTTCCCTTTTCTTTTTACCATTTAATGCTTATTGCACAGGATTTGGGGCGACCAGGGGCAGGCGGCACTTGAGAAAGCCAATGTCTGTCTACTCAATTGTGGCCCTACTGGGAGTGAAACTTTGAAAAACCTTGTTCTTGGTGGTGTTGGAAGTGTCACAATTGTTGATGGCTCTAAGGTGGACATTGGAGATCTTGGAAACAATTTCATGGGTTTGTTTTTGCCAGACTGTTGCTTTTCCATCTTTTGGCAGTTTGTTTGTTTTATTCTTCAATTTATGCCTGAACGTTTCGTCCTACGTGGCCAGTGAATAAACAAAGTGTTGGAGAATCAAAAGCGAAATTTGTGTGCAATTTCCTACAAGAGTTGAATGATGCTGTTGGAGCTAAGTTTGTGGAGGAATCTCCTGAGATGTTGATTGAAACAAGACCTTCATTTTTTGCTCAATTCACTTTGGTGATAGCAACCCAGGTACAAATCTCGATAACATTTTTATGTTACATCAAAAAATTTAAAGAAAATTCTTGACAACATTTTTATGTTACATCACAATTGCTAACTTTTATACAAGGATCCACTCTTTATTTGGAATGAAGTTTGAACGTAGAGTCAGAATTTTTTTTCTATTTTAAAATGTTGATTCTAACAGGGGTTAATGAAGTCTATGTCCTCTTTGTATTGTATGAGAAAAAATATACACGTCCCTGCAAACTCATCCTTTTCTGTAAATTTACTTTAAAATAATTTACATAAATTATACACGAGTGAATCAAAACTTCAGTATCTTCATTCAACTAGATTTATAAGAGGGAGGTGTTTTATAATTATATCTAAGGATAACATTGAAACCTTTCTATCTCAATCCTATGTAAATTCCTTGGTGAAGCCTAAAGGTCCTCGGTTTTAGTTTGTTTCACATATTTCAATTGGGTATGCCTGTAATCAAAGTACCCAATATCACCATCGCTAGGCCACCATTACAGGGCAAAACTTGCATGCAAGCCAGGCTATACTCAGGCTGCAATATCAACAGCCTCCAAGGTATACACGAAGCAATTTGTGTGAAAACCGGTCGTCATATTTGGTACTGTAAAAGTGAAGAACTTGAGCTACCAACATTTCTATAATCCAAAATAAAGGTGATAATAAGGGTTTCATGCACGGAGTACAATGAGAAAGTGATAAAGTTGTATGTAATTGAGCTCTACATATTCCCAGCGTTGTCTGTGTAATTTCATCAGATACTTAAAAGCTAGTTGCTTAATGGATGTACATCAGATACTCCGATCACTCTGTTGTCAGAGTGATGAATTGCAGGTTTCACCCAATTCTTCCCTTCACCTTCCCCCTCCAAAAAAATAAATCCTCAATCAACCTAATGCTTGTCTCATATTGGCTTCTATTTGTTCTGCTTAAAAATCATTCTAGTGATCTACTTTCGTCTCATGCTAATGTCTAGATTTTTCTTCATTTCTGTGACGCATTTTTCTTTCAGTTTATCAGCTTAAAAAAAATTCTTCTCAGCTGTGACTTCAATTGGAACTGTTTTTTCCTCTATTGCATTTGACCAGCTGGTAGAAAATCTATTGGTGAAGTTGGATAAGATCTGTAGGCAGGAAAATGTCATGCTAGTAGTGGCTCGATCTTATGGCCTTACTGGGCTTGTGCGGATCAGTTTGAAGGTAATTCCATATTTTTGTCGCCAAAAAAGATTTCATGTTTGGGTAAGTTTTGTGCTGGATGAATAATGATATCCCATTTGAATTACTCTCTGCATGACAGGAGCATAATGTAATAGAATCAAAACCTGACCATTTCCTAGATGATCTTCGGCTTCACAATCCGTGGCCTGAACTCAAACAGTATGTTGATTTACTTGAGCAATAGTTATATCAGCTTAAACGACAGTCATGGCTTCACAATTATCTTGCGATTCTGATGGTGCTGCAGTATTGTGACATTCTTTTGATTACTAATTTTGTGCAGATTTGCAAAAGCCATTGATCTAAAAGTGGCAGACCCTGTAGTCCATAAGCATACACCATACATTGTTATCCTAGTTATTGCCGCAGAAGAATGGGCTAGGATGCATGGTGGATGCTTCCCAACAACTAGGGAAGAAAAAAAAGAGTTCAAGGTTAAGCCTAGTCATGCTTATATTTTGGTATCCTTTGTATTGTTTGCTTTTGTTGTTGACTTTCTATTTTTTTCAAAACAGGACCTCATAAAATCATATATGATTGATTTGGATGAAGAAAACTATAAAGAAGCTGTAGAAGCTGCTTTTAAGGTTTCAGCTTCTCTGGGGATCAGTAAGCTTTTGCTTTCAATTATTTCTGAGTTAAATTAGATGGCTTATACATGATGATTACTTCCTTTGAATGCCCTTACTCTCTAAAATATAATTATTCTGGTTTCATAAGCCCTATATATTTATATTCCTTACTGTTAACTGTTTGCATCATTCATGTATGCAACTGAACTAAAAAATATTTGTGGCCCTATGGGAACCATTTATCTTAACTAATAAGGAGTTCAATTAAGCCATGATTTGCAGACTCTGTCCCTTAGGAAGTTCAATAGGCCGATTTTATGTTCAAAATTGCTAGCATGATCTGATCTTCCTTGGATCGGTGGATTCTTGGCTGATCTGACCTGTTCTTTCTGCTCAAGCTTTACCTGTATTTTTAAAATGACATTTGCCTGGTGCAGGCTCGTTCTAGGACTTCATCATGAATAGTGATTTTACAGAAAAAATAATGAACGTTTTTCGCAAATTGTAGTTTGGGCTGCAGATAAAAGGATAATTTTTCCCTTTAAATTCTCTATTTCCTTATAATAATATAATGTATATGAATTTTTTTAGTATCAGAGATATAGTTATAGGATGCATGAATCTCATGTAATGTTCTTAATCATTTCATGAGTTGGTATGGCGCCTTCATGCTTGCTACTAGGTCTTCATGCCAAGTAAAACATTGCCTTATCTGAATGGGTAAAATGAAGAAGAATGTTTTCTTGTCATTTGCTTATGAGGAAATATGTTTTTATTTCACAGACTTCGATGAATGAAGTTAAAAGCTTATCTCCTATCATTTTTTTTCAACCACAGGTTCTCATCTGCGCCAGATAGTAAATGATAGTTCTTGTGATGTTGATTCTTCTTCACCTGACTTTTGGGTCTTAGTAGCGGCTTTAAAGGTGGATATATTTTTGTGTTTTAATTTTTTTTAAAAATCCTATCTCATTTCATTTGATATGCTACGTCACTAGGTTGAAAGTTTTTTTTTTCTCTTTGTGTAGTATATTTGCTAAGAATCCTTGCTCGTCTAAAATTTAATGGTCTGTTGTTGACCAGTGAGAAAATTTCTAATGACATTTGACTTTGTTTTTTCCGTTTCATAAAAAGTCCCGTAATATATTGATGATGTGAGATTTTAACCCAGGCCTATTGACGTCAATAAATTGGAATATATGGTTTTGTTATGAATTTTTTAAATCACTTATCAAGTCGAATACTGCAGTCATCCTTGATTTCTCATATTCTCGCGTTAAAGAAGTCTTACCTAAGATTCTGACACTCCCAATTCCCTTCCCTAAGTTGGCGGTATCATGCCTACAGTATCAACAAATGATACTGATTGAAACAAACGATAAGAGTATATCAGGGAAGGCTTTTCTTGGTATGCACCTAAGCCCTCAGTAATCATATAAACTTGATGCTATTTGCCTTGGATCACGTCATAACCCATCTCGATTTAGTGCTGGCTTGTTTCATTAGGTTTTATCCATATGCTTCATCATTATAGCCTACAGAGGTCTTGGACGTGCTGATAAGGGCCAACTCAGTATCCTATTCACCTAGCATGTTCTCCTTTGATGTTTTCGATCATGGAATTGATGTTACCCATAGGGTAACTGTTAATGATTTTTATTTATTTACTACAAGGCAGTAGTTGGAGAACAAGAATGGTTGCACATTGGTTGAACTGCTAAATTTGATGCAACATATTTGATGCAAATTGGGAGAACAAGTTTCTGTTAGTAGATGTTTTTTAAGGTTCTGTCGCTGGTCTTTGTTTCTTTTTTCTTTTACACTTTTGTTTTGCAGTATAAATCAACCCAGCAACATATTATTTCTTTTAACTTATTCAGGAGTTCGTTGAGAATGAAGGTGGAGGGGAACCACCTCTTGAGGGTTCAATTCCGGATATGACATCTTTAACAGAGTTAGTGATTACGTTTGTGAATATTTAGGCTGTCATTAGATCCGGTGTAATATACTTCCATCTGTATGGTTTGACATTTTCCCTGCAACAGGTACTATATAAATCTGCAAAAGATCTACCAAGCTAAGGCGGAGGCTGACTGCCTTGCAATGGAACACCGTGTGAGGACTATACTAAAGAGAATAGGAAGAGATCCTGATGCCATTTCAAAGGCAGACATAAAGAACTTCTGCAAAAATGCAAGGAAGCTTTATGTAAGTGAAAGGCCTCCATCTTAATGGCACCATTTCTGAACCGAACTCTATTCTATTAGGTTATCAGATAACTCTATTCTGGCTCAGCCTCAGCTAATTGGCACACCTTAGTGTGCCCAGATAGCTGCTCTGAGATTCTTAGGCTCCCTTTAATGAACAGCTGTGCACTTTCTCTAACATGAGGAAAGGATGAGAGTCCTTGCACCGCTATAATTTACCCTTTTCTTCCGCTTTTTCGAAGTTCAGCTCGTGGCAGAAGTTCCCTGTCATTTCCTCTTAACTCCAGGATAGGTCTAGGCTCAGTTCAATGATGCCCAGACTATGGAATAGTGGACCTCCATTACCTATGACAAGGATACGTCTAGAGGGCCTTTAAGTTCTTCTTCCGGCAAGTTTGCTAAAATTACGTTGATGATGGCTGGAATTCCTCTCAGAGTTCCAAACTGCCTGGCTACTTAATTTCAAAGCATTGACTATTTGATATCTCTAAAGGTTTGTAATGATATTCTCATGGTACTGGTGTACCTTGAAGTGCTATTTTTGCTAAACCATGATATAAATATTAGGTTCGGAATATATATCTTCCTTTAATTGGAACTTTTTTTTTGTGATGTCTCAGACTGTCATATTACTGGTTGGTTGTTCAGGTGATCAGATACCGCACCATTGAGGATGAGTTCAGTTCTCCTGTTCCACCAGAATTACAGAAATATTTGACAGACGAGGATTTCAGGTTAGTCATTTCGATTTCTGTTTCTAAATGCTAATGATCATGGAATCGGACTAAATGTGAAAGAAGAATGATAAGAGGTACTGTTACTTGCCTGAACAGTGGGGGGTTAGGTGGAGGAGGGCTGTAACAAGTTCTTTTTAGTTCTTATGGAATTAACAGTGCTAGACAGAGCCCCTTTGGTAATGATCAGTTATAATCAAGTAATCTGGATTCGAAATTGCTCGACTGTCAAATTCATTAAATTCTGTCTCGGTCTGGCTTGTAAGATGAACTTTATGAATCTTTCTATGTTTTCCGAACCCGATTAGGAGTTTGCTCCAGGAACAAGGAAACCATTAGACTTAAGGAAACCATCTATGTTTCTCAAGCCCCATTGCGGGTTCATCTCAGCAACTAGGAACCCTGTTATCTCTGTTTTCCTAGAAATTTCATATGATGTAATTCATAAGGGATCCATCTCTGGTTGTCAGGACCAATCGCAAGATCAGCCATTGGAAACCCACTGACAATAATTTCCTAGAAATTTGATTTGATAAAATCTTAGGGGAACCCATTAATATTAACCTCCGAGAAGTTTGTGACGTTGACTTAGGGAATTCATATATGCTTCCCAAGCCCAATAGATCACTTGAGCAATAGGAAAACCATCAAGACTAATCTTCAATAAATTTGATGTAATATCCATCAATTGTTCCCTACCCTAATCAGAAATTTTCTTCAGGGGCAGATTATTGATACTCTCCTCCTTCTATTCTAAATTAGGCTCTGTCAGTTGCTAGACCATCTCCAAGCCAAGGTTTTTTCATAAGCGTTTCTTACTCTTTCAGCTTTGCTGCCGGATTTTACGTCCTCTTCCGAGCCGTCGACCGGTTCGCTGCCAACTACAACAGATTCCCGGGGGTCTTCGATAGGTATGCCGACAAATGCCCTTCACTCCCCCTTCCCACCCCCACTATTCTCACCCTCCTTTCTGATCCATCCTGCTGAGTTGCTTAATTTAGCTATAGTGTCTGCAACAGCGACATGGACGAGGATGTTGCCCGTCTAAAGGCCATCGCCATCGCCATATTGACTGAGGTAGGCTGCCACGCGTCAGCCCTCCAGGAGGATCTGATCACTGAGATGTGCCGATTTGGCGCAGCAGAGATCCACGCCGTCGCCGCATATGTGGGCGGCGTTGCCTCTCAGGAAGTCATCAAGGTTCTATCTCATTCTCATCTTAAGCTTTCTCCCTTTCATGCTTAGGTACATATACTATGCGTAAATATATGTGGGTAATTTTTTTTCTATGTGATCATAAACTGCCCGCATAGCAATTTTTATGTGGGTAATTTTTTTTTTTATGTGATGTTGTGATTGATCTCGTGGACTTTTGCAGCTCATCACCCGGCAGTTTGTGCCCATGTCGGGCACTTTCATCTTCAACGGCATAGACAACAAGTCCCAGCTGCTGGCGTTGTAGCCCCCCAAAGTCAACCCACCAAATGAGAGGTATTCATAGAATTAGTGATCTTTGATCTGGTTTTGGGGTAGAATCAGGGCCCACAATCATAGTGAAATCGGGGGGAATCAGACGGGTCCGATTTGGATCGGTTGGTTGTGAGCGGAAGTGAGTAGCTCAGATGATTTTGAGGTGGTATTTGCCCTGAACATAGGGAATTGCTGAGGAATTAAATGATTCAACTTGGACTTGTGGGGCTCTAAGCCGACCCAAGGGTCTGCCTTATATTGGGCCGATGGTGAATGGCCCGGCCCGGCCCAATACCGTGTTGAAAATTCATCTGAAACTTCTCTCTCTCTCTCGCTCTTCTTAATTGCCTTGTCCTGACCGCTGTTTCTCTCTGATATCTTGTGCAGAAGATCCCCTTTCTTCCACGCAGCTTTGGTCATTTCTGGAGGTTTGACTTCCTCAAAGGGCATGGAAGTATCAGCGGGGTCCAGTTGACAGCCAAGTGTTGACTTCTACCAAGCAAGAAGGGTTGACCTCTGCAAACAGAGAAGTCAAAACCGTGGTGTTGACCTATATGTCTGCTGACCTCCCCTCCCCCCCCCCCCAATGTGTTATCGAAAAAGGGTCGTATAAAAGTCAACCATCTTAAACTTTGCCCTGTGCAAGAGCCTTTCTGTCTCTATTGTCAGGTATGTTATTGGATTTAACGTCGGTTTCTTGAGGTGTGGTCAAATCCATGAGCTTCTGGGTGATGTAAATGGTCAAACAGGGACCCACCAGGATCTTTTTTCGGGCTTGGGCTGAAAACCCAGCCCATAAAAAAAATGGTTCTTGAAGAGGGTCTGAGGCCAAGATCTGGTACATCACTGGGTCCACACCCCCTTGTCCTGTGTGTCAACTCACCATTCCTCCCTCAAGTCCAGGCCCACCGGGATATCTTTTTCTGGAATTGGGCCTCAAAGTCAGGCCACTAAAAAATATGGGCTTTATTCAATATCTGCTGGCTCGAATATCCACGTGGCAGGTGCCACCTCATCCTCCCTTCCCTGACACAGTTGCCTACGTGTGCCCCACTCCTGTGGGAGGCCCCCCCCCCACCATCCCGATTCTGGGTTGGGCTTAGCCTAATTTGGGCTTCATAGTAGCGGGGGCCTTGTACTTATTTTGTGGCCTTTTTCTTTGGGGCTGCATCTGGCTTTAGGAGATGTTGTTTTACACCAAGCTTGGGCTTTCAAAAAGGCACCCGTTGACCTAACCATATGAGGAAAGGGTGTGGCCATAGCATCTAGACCATCTTTCAACATCAAATTTATTCAAAAATGGTATAAATTATGTGTTATATAGATGAGGATTATGGTAAGTATGATACTTTTGCATAAAAATGTCAGGATTTTCAAGTCAAACAAGGGCTTTGACTGGTGCTCAATGGGTGCCATAGTTGACCTGCCCAGTTGACCCAGCATTAGTTGCGTTATATCTTGTTTGCTTTAAAATTGGTGGGTTTGACTCTAGAGGTGATGACAAATAGATTGAGGGTTATCTTTCCTTGGGTCAAGCAACAGCAACAACCATTGGAGGCTGAGATTGTAGTGTTTGTAGGGCTCTCTTTATTAATCTAAATTAGGTTGAAAAATAGTGATCTTTAGGCTTGATTGTTCAATCAATCATTAGCATGATCATTATTATTCTATGAATGAGGGTCAGTTGGTGAGATAATACCATTGTTTGATTGAGTGTCGATATATGAAGAAATAGTTGACTAATTCTAGGGTCAATTTTGAGGGCCATTAAGGGTCAATTAGAGAGATAATAACATTGTTTGAAAAAGGGTCAATTTACAAAGGAAATAGTTGACTAATATAAGTGTCAATTTAGGAGGATCATTAAGGGTCAATTGAGATATGATAGTGTTGTTTGATTGATGGTCAATTTACAAGGAAAATAATTGACTAATTCTATGGATCAATTTACAAGGGTCATTAAGGGTCAACTAGAGATATAATAGCATTGCTTGAACAAGAGTCCAATTTACAAGGGAAATAATTAATTAATTTTAGGGGTCAATTGACAAGGGTCATTAGGGGTCAATTGGAGCAATTATAACATTGTCTGATTGAAGATTAATTTACAAGGGAAATAGTTGACTAATTATAGGTGTCAATTTACCAGGGTCATTAAGGGTCGAATAGAGAGATAACATCATTATTTGAATAATGGTCAATTGATGAAGGAAATAGTTGACTAATTTTAGGATCAATTTACAAGGGTCATTAGGGGTCAATTGGAGAGATAACATCATTATTTGAACAATGGTCAATTGATGAAGGAAATAGTTTATTAATTTTAGGATCAATTTACAAAGGTCATAAAGGTTCAATTGGAGAGAAAACATCATTATTTGAACAATGGTCAATTGATAAAGGAAGTAGTTGACTAATTGTACGATCAATTTACACATTAAGGGTCAATTGGAGAGATAACATCAGTATTTGAACTGTCAATATATAAAAGAAATAGTTGACTAATTATAGGTGTCAATTTACTAGGGTCATTAAGGGTCAAATAGAGAGATAACATCATTATTTGAACAATGGTCAATTGATGAAGGAAATAGTTGACTAATTTTAGGATCAATTTACAAGGGTCATTAAGGGTCAATTGGAGAGATAACATCATTATTTGAACAATGGTCAATTGATAAAAGAAGTAGTTGACTAATTGTATGATCAATTTACACATTAAGGGTCAACTAGAGAGATAACATCAGTATTTGAAAACTGTTAATATATAAAGGAAATAGTTGACTAATTATAGGTGTCAATTTACAAGGGTCATTAACGATCAACAACAATTACAATGACAGTTCTAAGAATTTTACACTCTTTCCCGTAAGTCAATGATTTGAGAGATGCTATTAACAAAATAAAATTAAAATAACTTGGGATTTCCTTAATTCAAAAATTGGTGAGGGGTTTCATGAAAATAAAACACATGAAAGTTATTCACATGGCAGTTCGAAAAAGGGTATGAAAACAATATTTTAATATTTAAGGGAGTTTTTATAAAGACCAAAATGTGGCAGTGAGCTTAGCTTATCACATGAGACTCTGCCGCAGCATCTCGACGTGTGGCCAGAATCCACCTCCCCGGCCGACGTGGATGCGGTAACGAGCGCCACCACCACATGTCCGGCTCTGCTTTCATCCACTGCGGCGTCGATCACAGATCGATCATGGGTAAGCGCTAAGGGTCGCTGCTCCTGTGGGGCCATCTGGGCCCCCTCTCTCTCTTCTTCTCTCTCTCTCCGGAATATTCGGCGGAGGAAGCACCGCCGTCGAACCAGTCGGGGGGGGCCTACAACCTGACGTCGCCGGAGTCGGCGAAGAAGAAGGTGGTGGGGGGCCCTCTGGTTTGGCCGGGGAGAAGGATCGACCGTTGATTTTGGTCTCGGTTTTTGGAGGATCGTGCAGGGTTTTGGAGGGTAGAGGACGATGAGTAGACGAGGAGGGTGATAAGGGAGAGAGGAAGGGTAATTAGGAGGAGGGCTGATGGGGTGGGTTGGAATTGGGGCTCTGCTGTTAGACGCTTCTTCTTGGGATGGCTTTTACCTCTGAACGTCTCTGGTTTATCTCCTGCTGTATTTCGCTGTAACTGGGTACGGAAGTGATTGTTGTTTGTGGGTGAGTGGAAAGCGGGGAGGGGGGGGGGTGTGGGCTCATTGGGGGAACAAGATTGTCCGGGGAAGGGTGATCTCTGCAGACATCTGCAGCTGCAGCAACAGGAGCAGAGGAAATGGAGATTACTCTCCATGCCAGGGGCCCTGTGGACTGCAGGGAGGTACTCCCTGGAGGATTCAGGATCAGGCCCATTGTGAATCTGTCGTCTCAAGTAAGCTGTAGATAAATTCTGATGCTATGAAATTCTCCTCCCCGTCTCCCTCTGTTCTTCACTGGAGATTTTGCTTTTCCTTTTTTTTATCGCTTTAATGGCTATTTTTTACGTAAGCTGTGGTTAAATTCTGACGTTATGAAATTCTCCTGCCCGTCTCCTTCAGTTCTTCAGTGGGGACTTTGTTTTTCGTTCTTTTATCGCTATAATGACTACTTTTTACGTAAGCTGTAGACAAATTCTGATCCTATGAAATTCTCCTGCCCGTCTCCTTCAGTTCTTCACTGGGGACTTTGCTTTTCGACTTTATTGCTATTATGCATTTTTTTTACGTGAGCTGTAGATAAATTCTGATGCTATGAAATTCTCCTGCCCGTCTCCTTCACTTCACTGGGGCACTTTGCTTTTCGTTCTTATTGCTATTTTCTACGGACGTGAAGCATATTTTCTTATTTATACAGATTTCTGGTGAGCAGATGGTGCAAAATTTTAATATTTAATGGACAGCTTTTGTTGCCATATTGGTTGTGGTTGTGGTGGAAAACCTTTTTCGCAGATTTTTCTTGATTTTTTTGTCAGAAATGAGCGAGAGCTGCTGTCGCTTTGTATCTCTGTGTGTGTTTGATTGAGTCCTACATCTTTCAGCGTCCTCTTTCTTCTGGGATAGTTTTTCTAAATGCCAGTGGTAATTTATACATTTCTGGTGCTTGAGATATGATCATGAATTCTCTTCGCTTTCAGTTGATTAGTAGAGACAGAATCTTTAGCATCTCCATTTTTTCTGACCGTGATGGAAGAACGCCATGCCACCATTACTGTTTGGCGCTCCTATTTCTGGGAATGATCTAGGTGCTTATGCATCATAAATTATTTTAATGAATTGAAGTAAAGATTTTTAAGATATTTCTTTGAATTGACCTTGATGGCCTTGATGTCAAGGGTGATATTTTGAATGTGTTCCTTCTCTTCTGTTTTCATCTCTGTGTTCCAGTCTCCCACATGTTGTAGACAAATCCCCCAAATGAGAGCTCTACCTCGCATGACAGCAAGCTCAGGTGAGCACCCACGCTGGTGGCATGGTATAAAAAATTGTGCCAATCCTGGTCCCTTCACAACAGATTACTTGCAGACTACCCGAGGCGGCGTTCAAGGAGGAGTTTGATCCCAAAGACCAACCGTTCCACCCCCAGAGGATTTTCTCCAGGACAACAAATTGGGACGAGCACACAGAAAAAGGACCAGGAAGCAATAGAAGATGGCGACATGGTTTCTAGATCTAGTGAACAAACTATTCTGGAGACAAAGAGTGTCACAGTCAGCTCATTTGTTCCCACGCAAAAGAACACAGATGATTTGGAGGAAGAAATTGAAGGCACTGAATCTGTAGAAGGGAAGGTATTATCCTCAAATCCCACTAAAATTTCCAATCGGATTGATACTGATGAGTTGGAGGGTGATAAAATTGTTGAGAAGGAAGATGAAAAGATTGCCAGGACAGACAACATGGTAGATGAAAAGGGGGGCAAAGTAAGTAATCATGACGGAATTGGACGGGAAGTATCACCGGTAGAAGAAGATGATTCAATGTCAATTATCTCCAGTGAAACGGGAAAGACAGAATCATTACAACAAACGGTGTTCGATGTTGAGGATCAGACGGAAAATATTCTAGGGGACATGAAAGGCCTTAAAGATATTGGCGTGGATGAAGAGAAAGTTGTCGAGGAGTCATCAGAGGAAGAAAGGACGACTGGTCACGTAGAAAACGTTATAGATTTAAGTGTCGAAGAAGAAACAGTTGTTGAGGCAAAACCAGAGATTGAGGTGGACCCAGAAATACACAAACAGATTCTAAATAAAACTTTGGATGAAGAGCAGGTTGTTGATAGGTCGTCAGAGGAAGAAAGGATGACTGGTCACAAAGAGAACGTTGTAGATTTAAGTGTTGAAGAAGAAACGGTTGTTGAGGTAAAACCAGAGGATGAGGTGGACCCAGAAATACAGAAACAAATTCTAAATAAAATTGCTGAGGAAAACGTTTCCAGTGGGAAGAAGATCTTTTTTTATCCACAAGTGATGAAAGTTGATCAGCCTTGCCAAATTTTTCTTAACCGAAGCATATCTGCCCTTGTAAATGAATCAGATATTTCTATTAAGGGAGCTTTCAATGATTGGAAATGGAAGTCTTTTACTGAGAAACTGCACAAGACCGACCTTCATGGAGATTGGTGGTCTTGCCAAATTCATGTTCCTAAAGAGGCATACAAGATGGATTTTGTGTTCTTCAATGGTGGGAGTATATATGAGAATAATGACTTCAAGGATTTTCATATTGACATAGAGGGTGAAATGAATGCATCTGCATTTGAAGAGTTTTTGGTTGAAGAGAAACGAAGGGAACTTCAGAAACTTGCAGAAGAACAAGCTGAGAGAGAACGTCAGGCTGAAGAGCAACGCCGAGAAGAAGAAGAAAGAGCAGGAAGAGAAGCCGACCGAGCACAGGCAAGGATTGAGGTTGAAAAAAGGCGACAAGCTCTATACCATTTTATAAGACAGGCTGTTCCGTCCGTTGAAAGTTTATGGCACATAGAACCGACTGTATTCAAAGAAAAGGACATGGTTCGAATTTTCTACAACAGAAGCTCCCGCCCACTTGCTCATGCTACTGAGATTTGGTTGCATGGAGGTTATAATAAATGGACGGATGGTCCCTCTATTTCTGAAAGGCTTTCCCGTTCTGATAAAAAGGATGGTGATTGGTGGTATGCTGATGGTATGCGTTAATATAAAGTCAGTCTTATGTTTAGAACAGTGAAAACTGAAAGCATATCCTTGTTAAAGATTACGCCATTGCTTTCTTGCTTTTCCTTATTTCTTGAAGTAAATTTGATCATGGCCCCTACAGCTATGGTTAAAGAAAAAAACTCTTTAGACGAGTGAAAAGGTTTTAATTTGTGGAAAAAAATTCAGCAAACGTTCGCTTAGCGCAAATGATAGGTGTAGAGGCCATAGCATGGGTGAGGATTCATTTTTTAGTTTAAACGATTCATTTTATACTTTGAAAAGACTTTTTGTGTGCTTTCATAATGAAAAATATCCTTATACGAGGAGATACCTGTTCCGGGTAAGGGATTCACATTAAATACCTTTTAAAAGGAGATTTAGGTGATTAGCAAAATGGAGGTCTGTTAATGGTCATCGTTTTGGCATGAAAACCTAGAAAATCCGTTCTGGCGTTGCTCAATTTTTTTCTCTTAGTTCAGTCAGTTCAGGAACGAAACCTGGAATAATCCAAGATTAGAGCTCGTTTTTCTGATCCACTGTGCCATGAGATAGAAACCACCACAGATATGTCACAATGAAAATATTTTTTTTCTATACTTGGTCGTAGTCATTTGCCAAGAAAGAACCCAAGCTAATATTTTATAAACAGTTATATGCATGCTCGTCTTATCAGATTAGAGATAATTCTAGTTCGGTGTGCTAACTTTGCATACCCTTTTAACAAGGATACAAATTTTTGGTAACACTATTATTTATACCATTTGCACTTGGTCTCTAAAGACGGTATAAACTAGGCCATTGAGAACATTACTGATCTATAGATTATCTCTGCCTGTACCCAGACAAAGATAGGGAAGCAAAAATCACTGGACCAACAGATGAGAGCTTATTTACTTTACAGTAAAAGTCAGAGTAGCTTCACAAAGCTATGATAGTAAGGAAATGTCTACATTAATATGATATTCTAAGTTAAGAGCCAAACGTCTGGAAAATATTATTGGGTCTATATTTAACTTTTATTAAAGTTTGAGGTTTTGAGATTGCTATCAAGTTTTCTGATATCTATTTTCTACTTCAGTTGCCTCAAAGTAAGATTGGCTAGTTTTACCATCTCTAGATTCCTAATACACTTGTTCTGTGTAGTTATTGTTCCTGACAGAGCTCTTGTAATGGATTGGGTATTTGCTGATGGCCCCCCGAAGAATGCTAGGATATATGATAACAATAACAACCAGGACTTCCATGCAGTTGTTCCAAATTGTATCTCTGAAGAAATATTCTGGGCTGATGAGGAAGAGTATATATACGACAAGATTCAAGAGGAAAGGAAATTAAAAGTGGAGGCAGCTAAGAGTAAGGTCAGTATGGGTGTGACGATATTGGCTTATCTTCCCTGAAGTCACAGGAAGTTGTCTTTTCTTATAACATTTATTGGTTTTACGAATCTTACAAAAAAATTGTAATTATCTGTTTTATCTCTTGTCTGAATTTTCTGCATCACGCAACACCTAAACTGCTGGTTTCTTCGTCTCATGAGGATTCACGTTGAAACAGGCTGAAAAAGCTTTGTGCTTGAAAGCTGAAACAAAGGCGAAAACCATGAAAAGTTTTCTATTATCACAAAAGCATATAGTTTATACAGAGCCGCTTGAAGTGCAAGCAGGGAGAGAAGTTACAGTTTTTTACAACCCTTCCAATACTGTCTTGAATGGGAGACATGATATTTGGCTCAGATGCTCATTTAACCGTTGGACTCATCATGCTGGTCCTTTACCTCCTCAGAGAATGACTTCATCAGAACACGGTTCACATGTCCAAGCAACTGGTATGTCTACATCACTGTATCATTTTTAATGGAGATATCTGAAGTCAGATCTTAAAATATATGATCAGCTTTATGCCAGTAGATGAGTTGTCTTTCTGCACTCTCCTACGTGAACCAATACGTTGACAGTACGGACTTATCAGGGTGATGTTTTCACATTGTTACTCTGACCTTGAACCCAGCAAGTGGAAGACAGTGATCTGTCCAGATACACCAGCAGACTGACATAAGCTCGCCATGTATTGTTTCAAGCCATGCCTATTACTGGAACTTGGGTGAATGCCATGACTTCATCCCTTGAGATGGGTGTTATGTAGATGATTTCATCTTTGAAGTTCTTTGTGTATCTCACTTCTGACATTTGTCCCCCGTTCCCTGTCCTCTACGTTCCTCTCCATCACTAAAAGTCTGCTAGTAAAGTCTTTCAGTGAAGTTAGAGCGTTCTATTGTTCTTCTGACTATTTTCATGCTACGTTTGAGAATTTTATGTGCTGAATGGCCTTTTTTTTCGACCCGAGGAGTTTTCTTATTGATGATAGTGTTTCACTGTTCCATACTTTATTACTCATCTCCTTCACATCCACTTTTTTATGTACTTTACCGACTAATGGTACTTGCGTTTCTTTTGTAGTTAAGGTTCCATTGGATGCATATATGATGGACTTTGTATTCTCCGATAGAGAAGATGGTGGAACATTTGATAACAGAAACCAAATGGACTATCACATTCCTGTAACTGGAGGCCTTCATAAGGAGCCTCCAATGCATATTGTACATATTGCTGTTGAAATGGCACCTATCGCAAAGGTTAGCTTGAATGTTTCCTGTATAGCTATAATTGGTTTTTCCTAGCGAATGAGCTCTAGACTCTGCATTGTTAGACTGCTCTATGTGGTACTTTATGATGAAACTCTGCAGAGCTTTAGCCTCGTGATTTATTTCTCATATGATTATTGTACTGCAGGTGGGAGGGCTTGGTGATGTTGTCACCAGTCTTTCACGTGCTGTTCAGGATCTTGGGCACAATGTTGAAATTATCCTTCCAAAATATGACTGCATGAACCTTAGTAATGTAAGTTTCTGGAATTTTTTTATAGACGTCTCTATCAAAGATCTTGAATTGGTTACAGCCTAGTTTTATGTTATGAGGATATTTCTACTTATTCCAGTGCTTATTGTTCTTATCTAAATGAACTGTTTTATTCAGGGGAATGATAATAAGATTTGAAGATATTCCTTAATGATTCATTATCCATAAGAACCAAATAATAATCTTCCTCAAAAAGTATTTTCTCGTGGCCCTTCACTGATGATTGGATTCTAGTTCTGTTTGGTGATGAATTCTCTCCTAACATAACCTCAATGGTCTGACATAATATTTTCTGGAAATATTTGAGAAATACTATTTAGCAAACTCTTCTAGTATCATCTGCTGTATGTCTAGGATTCTGTAGCATCAAGACTGAGTGCGAGAAGTGTAATTTTGCATGGGCTGATTGGTTGATCCTTTCTTGTGTGCTCAGTAATTGGGTCAAATTATTAGTATCCAATCCTGTTTCAAGAGAAAGACATAGGAATCGGCAGTTCCCCTTAAGAGTCAAATGAGAGGAAAGATACAGGAATTTGCAATAGAGTACGGATTCAGACCCGGCTCCCAGATGAGAAGGGTTTGATCTTGACGTGATGCATCTTTGTGATGTAAATGCAGTGGAAAATTTTCTGAGTTTTTCTGTTAGATTAAGCACTATGAACTCTCCGCTTGAAAAAATGATAATTGATCGAGTAAGGTGAACCAAGAGAGAATGGATGATAATTGTATTAACATATTTCGTAAGAGGTCAAAAATATAATAATTTCTGAAGTTCCACTCAATCCATCACTTTTCTAGATGTTTGACATTAGTTGTTTTGTCAGGGTTGGATGCAGGGTTAGTAGAGGTGGTGGATGAGGAAAGGAAAATGGATCCTTCTATGGTTCTCCTTCCTCTATTTTCCTTACGGTGTCTAAGTGCTGCATTTTTCCTCCACTTGCATCATCAAGCACAGTGAACATTGAAATTTTTTAGACAAATGTTGTCAAACTTTCTCACGCCGGTCAGGAATCAGTTTCTTTGAAATTGGCTGATCCGGCAGCACTTTTCTCATAGATTATTTTTTCGGCGAAATTTCCCTCTCTCCCTCACTCTCTCAGATCTCTCTATCTATTCTTCTTTTGCATCATCTTTAATTTTATCAGTTTTGAGAAACCTCCAAGTTTTAGAACAATATTCGTATCTTAATTGCTAATGGTAAGCAAGTGAAAGTTTATGGACACAGGTTATAGAAGCCCAGTAGTTTCTGGTAAACGATACGTTAGTTTTATCCTGTAGCTGGTGCGAATGCTGGTCATTTTTACTGATACTATTGTCCTTGTCCTCCACGATACTGTCACATTACTCGATTAATTTTAGTGTAGCTTTCGTTTCTGTGTCATGTTGTTGTAACGGAAGTAATGTGCTCTTGCCTGAGATGCAGGTGAAAGATTTTCAGTTCAGTCGAAGCTTTGCATGGGGGGGAACGGAAATAAAAATGTGGTTCGGAAAAGTTGAAGGACTTTCTGTCTACTTTCTGGAGCCACAGAACAGGTAATAAAACCTTCATATGAGTACACCTTCTATTCCTTGCATATGGTTTTCTCATTTTTGTGTACACACTAAACATGAATGATCTGACATTTCAAGCCATAAAGCTGCTGATAATGGCGGTTTACATTTTTTTATGGATTTTTTTCCTGGGTGCTTTTTGCTTCTGTTCCGCGTTTTACCTCTCATACAGACTTATCTACTAGATGTTAATCATCTTCTTTTGCCAGAAAGACATCTTGCAAAAAGAAAATTTTGTACAAAATTCCTGTACCAATTTTAATTTAACTTTGATTTTCTAGATTGATTTCCACTTATGGAAATTCTAGTCGATAGCATAATACTAAGGCATTCAGGCAGGGATGGGCTACAGGAAAGAGCCACAAGCGAGAACATGATTCTTGTGGTAGTTGAGAAATGGAGGCTAGGGGAAAGGGGAGAAGTTTCTTCTGTGTACCAAGTATGATGATGACATTACTCTGTTACCATGGTAGAAGAGAAGAGAAGATGAGGGGTCGTGTACTCAGGAGATCCAAATGTTGCTTAAAGTTTTTGAGGACAGTTTGCCTATGATCCTTAGGTTATAAAAAGGCCGAATGGCTCCTGGAAGGGATAGAGAAGATAATCCTTCATACTATGTAGGTTTTGTTGATGAGACAAGTGCCCTGCAGCGGATATAAGATTTACATGGTGATAGAAAATCGAATGATTGTAGCACAACCATACCCAAAGGGAATCGCCGGGAATAATTGGTGTCCTTGCCATCTTTAGTCAAATTTACATCTTCTGATGTAATTATTTGGTCGATTGTCCAAGAAGTGATTGAGGAGCTGGGATCGCCAGTGGATACTCATGGATAATAGAAAAAATGATTGCATAGTCTAGTCCTACTCGAGACTCTGTGGGTCGTTTGGAATGATTGGAAGAGGTAGATACTTATACACCAGATTTATTTGGTAGAGAGGGTGGTCAGTTGTGTACGCTTTAAATTGAAGCTGTGCGTTAGGATATTGAAATAAGGAAGGGATTTACCCCTCAATCTTGAGCGCTTTGGGTTACTAAAGTGGTCTTGTGTAAAATGCAAACATGTTGTATGGGCTGTCTTTTTAGGAGTTAATTGATCATATAATCTTGTGCTCCCCTTTTTTACATTCAGTACATGTGGCACTATGGACTTAGTATATTTGGGCTACATTGATTGTTTCTGTGGTGGTTTGAATTCCAAGCACGGGCTGGCCGCTCTAAGCTATCCAATCTGTTGTGCTCTGTATTTATGTCAACAGCGAAAAGTTTCCCACCTTCATCAAAAGGCCCGAATGCTTAATAAATTATCAGAGACACAGTTAACACTTCGAGGAACTGAAATAGACATTTGCCTGGCATTCACCACTAGATGCTTTACAGTTCTCTTGATTGAACTCTAATGTTGAATTTATCCATGGCTAGATACTAAAGAGGAAATGAAGAAACCTTATCGGGTTTCTGTGAAACCTTTGGGTCAAGCTTTGTCAGATGCTCTGTATTGCGAGTACTTTGTGCTTCCCTGTGAATATCTTCGTCTTTGATTTCTTGCCAATGAATATTTTGTGATTTCATTCCATGCAGCATGTTTTGGACTGGGTGCATATATGGAGGGAGGAACGATGCAGAAAGATTTGGTTTCTTCTGTCATGCTGCACTCGAATTCCTCCTCCAGAGAGGATCGCATCCTGTAAGTTTGACGCATTATTTTATCATTATCTTTTTTTTCAAACGGTTTTCATTAATTGATGTTAATGACGGACATGAACAACATTTTTTATGATAGTTTTTCTCTGGTAGATAACCAGAAATGAAGATGTGCTTTGTCCTGAAAATGGTATGTAATCCCAAAATGTTGGAAGTAGTTTGAGTAGGAAAGTTGCTTATTTAACATATGATGGCGGTTTAGAGTGGTGACCTAGAGCTATGAG